GCCAAATCATTTAGGAAACTTAAAAAAATAAATCAAGTGCTGACCCCTTTTGAAAATCTTGAAAAATAAAGCAAAAAAACATTCAATGTGTAAAATTGTTTAAAAATGTGCTGCCACCTATATGCTTCAGAAACAAACAATCCTACATTTCACCGCATAGGCCTATTTATGCGGTCTTTAATTTCGATGGAATCATTTGAATGTCTTTAAAATATTTTGAATTAAAGTATCATAATTACTGTAATTAAAAGGAAAATTATTATTCTCTAATGTAATCCTGAAATTCCTGATAGCTGAAAGAAAGTCTGTCTTATTATTACAAATAAATTTAAACCTAATATTTTAACCAATCAAAATATTCTTGAAAATGTTAAAGTATAGGTTGGAATTAAAATGTGTTAAACTAATAATATTAAACTTAAAATCTCTTCTTTTATCATATAATACGATAAAAAAATTTTGGTTATGAAGTTTAATATCAATATCTAAAAAATAAGAGCAATTTTCATCTGAAGTAGTCTTTATTAAATTGAGTTTTATGGAATAAATATCTTTAATTAAATCAAAATTATTCGAATCAAAAATAGTTGAATCATCCATAAATCTAAGCCCAATTAATAAATTATGTTGTAAAAATCTTTGTTTTTAAAAATGCAAGAAAATATTAGCAAATACACTTGAATAACCAAAAAAAAATTTTTTTTTCGTTTTCTGATAGAATAGTATTTTTGACTATCTAAATTCATTTCATGCTTAATCATTTAAGCATTCTGCACTATGAATAGTCATTACATAGAAAATTGGATTTTATACGTAGGCGGTAACAGTTATAATATATATCTTACTGTTTTCTTAACGGTAAGAGTAAATATTAATTAAATCTCATGTGTAAGTTAAACCTTTTACAAATAGACAAAAAACAAGGTTTTGAATATTGAAATAACAATTTATACTAAATCAATTAATATCAAATCTATTTCTTGCATTACCATTTCTTTCGATTAAAAAATTTAAAGTGTAAATAATTGTAAAGTAATAATATTTATTCTCTTTTTTTTATCCAATCAATGCAGATTTTTGTAAATAAAGAGTAATCCAATTTCTCCACTCTTATTGTATATTTTGAGTATAAATGTAAAATATGAACATAATAAAGGTACAAAATAATATTTAGGAGGGGGAAAAGGTTAAACGTAAACGAAACCAATTTCAACTGAGAGAGATATAATTTAAAGCATGATAGCTTGATTGTCTGACAAAGGAAAAAATATTGATTGCTGAGAATATTTGAACAGAGATTATTCGAAACATTTTTAAGCTCCTTACAGCAATTAAAAGTTTTAAAATTTTCATTCTCGCTTTCCTCTATTGTAATTCACCAGTTTTTGAAAGCCTACTTTTTCTCTCTTTAAATTGCGTTATGCCTTGAGCAGCATTCTTTTGGATTTCATAAATTATTCTAATAAATAGGTTAATGGTTGTATATTGATAAAACCGTATGTATATTATACCTTATCAATTAAATACTTTTAAAAAATATTCTGAAAATTCTTTGAAATAGAAAAAAAGTATTCTAAACATACTCAAAATAATTTGTCAGGAATCGTGGGATACTTTCTTTCTTGCTTACTCAATCATATTTTTATGGCAAAAAAACAGCCGTTTAATGTTACTCTGTTACTAAATTAATGTTAATTACATTCTCATTACTTGCGAAAATTTTAGTTTAATTCGTTCTCTAAATAAGTTTTCTTTAAATAACATATAAAAACGATGCATTTAATGTAATTTCTACAAATTAGCGTTATGTTGATTAAGTTTGTCGCTAATTACACAGAAAATTGTTGTTATAAAAAACTATAAGCAGCTATAATATTTAGTCCATATGAGCGTCTTTCAATTCCCAAATCAATAAAAAAATAATAAAATTCTGAAGATTGCATTGTTCGTCTTATGGGGATTTAAAAAAATTGTTATTGGATTTTTCTTTAGCGCAAACTTTTTCTTCCACATTTTTGGAAAGAAAATTAAATATTTTCTAAAAGCGTAAATGTTTTCACAAAACCTTTTAGCAACATAGTTCCAGAAAACATAGTTAAAAAAATCGATTTCTTAGCCGACTTTCAAGTAACTCTTAAAAGAGTTTATCAAATAAAAATATTTCATAAATTGCACCACACAACAAGTCGATAAAAACTTTTTTTTTTCCATAACAGTCATCAACAAAAAAATCTTCGCTTACAGATAAAATTCCTGAATTCCATACTTTTTTAGATAAATAAAAACTCCAGTGAGGAAAACCTAGATTAGGGTCTGAAAAGCCCGTAACAATACATACATAAAATAATTTTTATTGAATTTTTTTTTTAGTTTCTGACTGAATTTTTTTAGTGTTTCAGTTCTTCTATATATTATAACTTAGAGAGAAATTGAAATTTTTTTGCCCACTTCCTTAAGAGCAGAATTTTTTTAATACTTTAGCAACAAGCAATGTGCTCGCCTTTTTGAGGAAAAAAAGGAGTGAACAAATTTTAATGAAATTGATCTTTCAGATTTAAAATAAAATTAAATATTTTTCAATATATTTAGAAATCAATAGGATATTTTCGATATTTAAACTAATAAAATATTCAAGCATAAAAATAATATGATTTATAGTACTATTTTTATCTAAAGATAAACGCAGATCTATTTTAAGGAGCACTAGGATCTATTTGTATATTATTCTTTATCAATGTCACAACATCCAGCAAATTAAAAAAAAGTATTTAACTAGATATGCACTAGTCTATTCCATTTTTTACGACTAAATAAAGAGTAACATTTGCCTAATTCTTGAAGGGTACTATGTTAAAATTTAAAGTTTAATGATGCTTATTTTTTGTCATTCTATTCATTAATAGTCGAAAAAAGTTTGAGGTACAAAGTATACAAATTAATTATAAATAATTACCAATTAATTAATTTAAAGAATGTAATTTTATATGGTAAAATACAAAATTTGAACGAAAACGGTCGAAAATTCGAATTTTAAGGATCCGTCTTTTTTATATCCGAATTTTAAACATTTGTGTTTATTTCAAAAGTTTTAATCATTTGAAAAATATTTAAATATGGCATGAATTTTTAAGGTTTTTGTTAATTTTAAGCACAATGTGCGAATGAAAGATATTAACCGGTTTTAAAATTTTATGTTGTTTTCATTTTTATTACAATAGGCAACTTTTCAACACCGGAACTTATTTTTTGACCCATTCTATTGTGCAAGAAACTAACAAGCAAGTTAAAGCAGGAAAACTTGTTCTTGATGCCCGTTGTCTAATTTTTAGTACGTCTCTGTGTTCTTCTTTTTCAGCATGTCGATTGACGAAAATACTTCATTATAGATCCGAAAACAGCATGTCCACTTATAATTGCTTTTTCACGATGTCTGCTTCATTCAAATGTAGCCCTATGTTTACCTTTTCTTCCCTTAAACCAGTCATGTCAAAGATACGGCCCGCGGGCCGCATCCGGCCCCCGGTTCGTATCAATACGGCCCGCGATCGCGATGTGTCACAGAAAGAAGAATCGTGTTTTTTAGAGCTTTTAGACTTCACTCGATTCCTCTACGGAAGTTTTAAAATGTGCACACTACATTTATAAGTAATTTCAAGGAAAACGCGTGCCTAGAGAAGCGAGAGAGATAGACAGTAACGACATTTCTTAGCAACAGGCGAAATCTTCGACGGGAATATACTTAGCAGCACAACTACGGATGGCGCTCCTGCCATGGCTGGCAAACATTCGGGCGTTGTAACTAAATTAAAGCAGAAAACATCAGGGAATTTTGTGGGATTTCCCTGTATAATTCATCAGGAATCATTGGCATCCAAGCATTTAAAAATGGACCATGTCATGCTATCTATAATTAAAATAGTAAATTTTATAAGGAGCAGAGGACTAAATCACCGACAGTTCAGGCAGTTTTTACAAGATTTGGACGAAAATTTTTTTTGATGTCCCTTATTTCCTTGAAGTTCGTTGGCTCAGTCGAGGAGTAGTTTTAGAAAGATTTTTTGCATTACGTGACTCTATTCAAGCTTTCATGTAAGAAAAAGGCAACCCAATTGATTATGACATAAACTGGTGGATTGAATGTGTCTTTTTGGTAGATATGAATTAACACTTGACTGATCCGAATGTAAAGTTACAGGGTAAAAATCTGATTATCACTCAAATGTATTCAAGCCTTTGAAACAAAGTTGAGGCTATGGGAAAATCAGGTAAAAAATCAAACTTTGGATCATTTCCCTCATTTAAAATCATTTGGCACAGTGAACCAAAAAAAATTGGATCAGTTTTCTCAACTTCTGCAAAATCTGATCACGGAATTCAACAATCGTTTTGAAGACTTCCACAAAATGAATGAAACGGAATTCCCAATTTTCAACAATTCATTCAATTTTGAAGCTTCACAGGCACCAGTTCATTTGCAAATGGAGTTGATAAATCTTCAATCGGACAGTATTTTGAAAGAAAACTTTAAAGAGGTTAACGCTCTTACATTTTATACACAATATTTCAAGAGTTTGGATAACTACCCGGAATTAAAAAAAGAATGCAGCACGCATTCTGAGAACAAGAGAAGTCAGGTATCTGGATTCTCGAGCTCAAAATAATTACCATCTTTTATAACTTTGATATGATTTTTAACAACCGTATATTATATACCATATAATTAGGTAAATAAAATGTTATAATAGTTCAGTACATTTTTTTTATTTGAATCTGACCCGCCTACACATTCTAAATTTAATATATGGCCCTCTGCAAAATTGAGTTTGACACCTCTGCCTTAAACGCTTTTTTTGGTTCAACTCTTGATCGTATACTTTTCATTGTTCAAAAATATAAACTTAATTTGGTTCTTCGAAACTATGCGGATGTGAGTTTTTTTCATATGCACCTAAGACAATACTGACATAAAAGACATTTTTTTTTGTATTTATTTATTATAGGTGGTACAAGAAGGATGGCGTAAGATTAGTACCAGTTAACCCAAGACCGGGTGTTATTCTTCTCAGTGGTTCACTTTATTTTCAGCAGGTAAATGTTCGTGATTCAGGAACATATGTGTGTGTTGTCAATAACAGTGCTGGGGAGAAGAGAATGGAAAGTCATTTGACAGTAACAGGTAATATAAACATGTGCATATTTTATAACCCTTAACAGTTATTAAATAATTTTAAAATGTTCATGATACTTAGGAACAAATAATGAATGCCGTGATGAATAATGAAATAGTGTATTCTTATTAAAATCATACTGTTAGCTGCTAGTATGAATCAATAATATGAATCGAAAAAAAACTTGCATTGGACCAGATGACTCAGTTCTTATGTTTGAATTAAAAACAAGTTTGGCAGATCTTTTACTCAACTAAAACACCCCCATTAAATTAATGATAAAACTACTAACAACAACTATCAAATTTTACAATGTATTCTTAATAGAAAGTTTCAATTTTGTTTCAACGTTAAAAGTTTATGTATTTAGAACTAATTCCTCTTAATCTACTTAATCTTCGCATAACGTTTGAATAAAGAATTTTCCTTACGACCAATGATTGATATTTCTCATGTAATCCTTGGAGCTGTTAAACCAGTGGTAAATTATCCTAGAACAATTGAAGTTCAAAATTAATTTTTATGTCTGTGTTAATAGAGATTCTAATTACTATAGAACTGAAGTGCTTTTAAGTCTTAGCCTGTGCAACTGATCTAACTGACATCTTTTTATGACAGTAGTAAGATCAGTTGGCACTAGCAAAAAAAGTTGCAGAAATGAAAAAAAAAATTTAACAGATTTTTAAGCATTTTCTAGGTTATTTTTATGCTTTATGGTTTTTGTTTTTGATAAATTTAACCTTACACGCAAAGCCACTTGAAACCGTACTCCTCAAGTTCAAAAATTGAAACAAATTTTTCTGCATATCAAAATAATAATAATAATAATAATTCTTTAATTAATTCTAGGCGACAATAATCAACCTTTAGAAAGTCTGAAATTTACTTTAATATTAAAAGTTTTCTTAATTTAAAACAAAATTCTTCTTAATCAACTTAATCCTCACGCAACGTTCCAATGAAGTATTTTCAATACCCTAATGATGAAAATTTTCCATTCAATCCTCAGCGCTATTAATAGTTCGGCAAAATATCCTACGGTCATCGAAGTGCAAATTTAATTTGAAATACCTGTGTTAAAAGCGATTCTAATCACGATAGGTCACAAGTGTCATTAAGTCACCTTCCTCCAGAGAGACGTGTTCATGGCACGTGCTCTAACTGACATATAATTTGTGAGGACATTGATCAAGGTGGATGTTCCAGTAATAGGTTTTCCTTGTTTTCTTCTCTTGCAGCTCCCCTCTCTGCTCATCTTCATCCAAAGAGGATCCTTGTGGACGCCGAGAAACCTGTCACTCTCAAGTGTAACATCTCAGGATATCCGGTCGATTCCGTCACATGGATGAAGGATACCCGTACCCTTGCTGACAATTCCGGACGTGTCCGGATGCTCACGCGAGACATTATCCACATCAACTCTGTCGGAAGGGAAGATAGAGGGGTCTATCAATGCTTCGTGAGAAATTCTGATGATTCGTCTCAAGCATCAGCAGAGCTAGTTTTGGGAGGTACATTCCTGATTTGCTCAGTTGAAGCTCGAAATTTGCTTTGATGACTGTGGTTTAGCTTAGTAATATTTTTCTCAAATTATAGTAGAAAAGCACTTTTTACAGAAAAACAACAAAAAGTTATAGTTTTACTTATTTTTAAATTTTGTACATGTTAGAATAATTTTAAATTTTTAATTAATTAATTTTAAATTTTGTACATATAGATCACTTAAAGCAAATAGACAATGTTTGAGCTCATAAAATAGAAATAGTCATTAAGGTATAGAGTAAATAATAGGAAAATATGCATAAACATAATAAAAGAAACATAATTTATGTAAGCATGAAACGACCAAAAATTATTATTGTTGATGAAAGAGAGTACAATTATTCACCCATAGTTTTCAACTGATACAGATATAACATGAATTAACACGGTGAAATCTGTGAGTCAACATAACAGACGTAATTTATTAAGAAGAATTGTCCTGGGATTTTATTTTATTTCTGCTAATTATGTTGATCTTTTTGTGCATTTTTGTTTGTTTTGCATTTAATAATTTTTAAAGTTATCAAATTTTTTTAAATCTTTTTAAGGAATGTTAAAATAAAGCTCCGAATGAAAATTCTTAACTTGGGAAAATATGAAAATAAAAACTCTAATTGCGATATTCATCCTATATATATTTAAATTTGATGCGTTTCGATTAGGAAATACCAATTGTTTGATCAAAAGGATACATAATTTTTTTAATTTGTTTAAAACAGTCATAATTTTAAAGAGTCTATTTCGAAATCATGATTAACAACTAAAATTACGAAATTATTAGAAATTATTAATTACTACTAATTATCAATTTAGCTACTTAACTACAAAATACACATTTTTACTCTTTTTGAATAATAAAATTAATGTAGAACAGCTTTTTTGGAAAATAAAGATAAATATAACCATACTGTCGCACAACACCACTCAGAATTTTAGTTATTGTAAGGGAAAATAATTTATGTTTCATAGTTACAAGAGACTTTGCTACAGGTAGACATTGTTTCAGACAGAAAATAATTTGTGTTCAGTTTTAATCCATCTTTTTTAGAAGAAGGTAAAATATTTTTAAATGCATAAGCTTCGTATAAAGTAAAAAAAAAAAAAACATCCACACGACACTCGTCAAGAAAATGTTTTACTCCCAAAAATATTTTTTAAATTTAAAAACAATGAAAAATTTACATTTCTTTCAAACAACCCCATGAAACAAGTTTATCAATGAAAATTGAAAATGCAGGTTTAGAGATCCAATGTACTGTCTTATAATTAATATTAATGTGTGTCAGTCTTATATAATTGATTACTATCAAAAACTTATTTTAAAAATATTATCTAGACCCTGAGATTAGTTAATTTTTTTCTCTTTACAGAAACTGCCCCATCATTTCATGAAACATTTTCCGAGAAAACCTTACGTCCAGGTCCCGTCATATCCTTCCAATGCGCAGCCTCAGGCACACCTTTGCCTCAAGTCACGTGGTCTCTAGATGGATATCCGGTGCCTGACAACGACAGAGTTCGTGTTGGCGATTATGTCAGCAGAAATGGCGATGTTATTAGTCACGTGAACATATCAAGTGTTAGAATAGAAGATGGCGGCATGTACAGTTGCGTGGCAAGGAATGATGTCGGGGAAATAAGGCATTCTGCAAGGCTCAATGTTTATGGACCACCCATGATTAGAGCCATGCCTGATCTATCAGTTGTCGCTGGTGAAGTAACATCGATTCAATGTCGAGTAGCTGGATACCCTATAGATGAAATTATGTGGGAAAAAGGTAGGTTATCAGATTTTACTCCAAAAACAATAGCGATCTATGTTACAAAATTCAATATTATTTTTAGAAGGCACAATATTTTTTAATAAAGAAGTATAATTCCATTTAAAAATAATCTAGTTTCCCAATTTACTAATCTTGTTGAAGCAATGACTGAAGTGATATTCAGATAATTGAGAGGTCTAATTCAATGAAAATTTTAGAATAAATAAGTTGTTCGCAGACTTATCATTCGGAATATAGCAATGTGGTAGATAAATTTGTCTCCCGTGAACCACGTGATGTAAAATTTGGATGAAATTAATTCTTATAAATGTTTAGATTGTAAGTGCTAACAAAGTTTGTATAAAACCTCAGGCAAAAATCAAAAATAAAGACCACTTTTTGTACCGATAAGCAACCAGTTTCTAGCACAGTTACAGTATGAGATAGTAATTAAATAATTACAAAAATCGACTAAAATCGAGCGTTTATTGTGATGTATTTTGTTTAGATTCTGTCTGATTTTTCTATAAAAAGTTCAATGCCTGGAATCTTATAACCTTTTCTTTCTTTATAGATTGAAGTTTATAAATAAAAGTTATATTTTAACGAAAATTATTACTTATCTTAAAAAGGCGCATTATAGGGTCGTGTACTTATAAAATATTTCAGAGGCCGAGCATTTTTAATTCGATTTAAATTAAGCTATTTTAAAATCATCCTTAAACACATGAATAGAGAAATTAGCATACCATTTTCGATAATTAAATGGTTAAAAACATTATTTAAAATAGAATGGAAATGCTTAAAACAACACATTCCACTTAATTTGCTGAATTTACATTGCATATTCTATGAATAAGTGCAATTATTTAAGTTTATAAGAAATTAAATTAAGTCAATTTAAATGCACTTCTTATTTCCTTCAGATGGCCGTCGCCTTCCAACAAATCGTAGACAACAAGTATTTGCCAACGGGACTCTCTTGATTGAGCAAGTTCAACGTCATGAAGATGAGGGCTCTTATGTCTGTTCTGCTAGAGCTGCAGACTCGGCTTCTGTAGATGGCAGTCTGAAGATAACAGTTAAAGGTACATAGATACAGTTATAAAAAAAAATATGTGTCTGAAAAATTATTTTTAATTTAAATCAGTTTAATTAAGTTTTCAAAAATTTAACTATTTATAATTTTTATGGATTTTATTTTTAATTAGTTAAAATAATTTTTAAAAAATTTAAATTCAAGTTTTACATAGAAAATTGAAATAAATAAAAAAAAACAATTACCCTTTGAAGTGTACTCTTCAATTCTAGGAATTAAAATGGTTGATTAATTTTAAGGTGGTGCCATGAATATTGAAAAAAACAATTAAAAATCCATTTATTGCCTTTTCTTCTTGTTAATTTTCAAGGAGTATGTATGTATACTATAAAACTCGCAGTGTACTGTACAACAACAAATAAAAATATTGATTGATATTGATATTTGAATGAATGACATTGATTTAAAACAGCATTTGTGTTTCTTTTCTTAACTCCAAACTCGTAGTTATATAAAAAATTTTTACACCACACATGGAGAAAAAAAATCTGGTAAAATTTCCGAGCTGTAAAATACTGACATTTCTAGCAAGGAAAAAAACAAAAAAAAATTTTGTTAATAAAGCCAAAATATACAATATTTTAAACAATTAATTTTGTAATTTTCCCGTTCATACAGTAACTGTTATCGCAATTTCTGTATTCCAAAATTATAGTACATGCCACCACACACTTAGTAAATAAATACAACACTGAAAAATAAATTTAACCGAATAAATGGTTTCGTGGTAACACGAATAAAAAAAAAATTCATGATAAATTACCAAACATTGCCACGTTTACTAAATTTATAAAACCATATTTTATTGTTATTTTCACAAAAATCATTTCCAAAGCGGTGTGGAAAAATTATCGCGCTTTTTTGATGTTCCCATCGTACCAAAAAAAAACGGCACATTTTACCATCTTCTGGTATTTTTCACCATGCTTTTTTCTCAGTTCAGTGAGAAATGCAAAAATATATTTTTTATCAAAGTGATTAAGCTGTGGTGGATCAGAGGATAGAGCGTTCGTCTTCCAATGAGGTAAACCTGGTTCAAATCCCAGCGGTGACTGGTCGATACAAATTTCTGACTCGTCTCGCTCTGACCACAATGATGACGAATAATATCCGCATTGGTCTCCGGATCACGGGTTAGAGCTAAACATGGGAGACTTTCGTGGTTTTTCTCTCCATGTAACGCAGATGTGAGTTAGTTCCATTAAAAAGAGTCCTCCACGGAGACAAACTTTCTCCCAATAATTGATCCTAGAGTTCCCTTGTCTTCTGGATTGGGTTCAAAACTTCAGGGGTACGGAGTTGAACATTAGTTGCCGTAAACCCAAAAACGTAATGGCTGTTCAACGATAATAATAAAATTATTATAAAATATAAAAGTGATCTCTTAATCTTTCTTAATGCCATTAAAAATTTATAATAATTAACAAAAATATATGTATAAATAATGAATTATAATTAGTTTGTAAAGTAATTATACAATTTTCAGTTCAGCAATACTTTTCTAGCGTAATTTTCTAGACTTTTTAAGTAATAATTTATGATCTAATTACAGTTTTTTAATTAAGTACTTACTGAATCGCTGCATTCTATTTATACTCAGTTATTAAAGTACATTAAATAAGATCTCATGAAAACGATTTGGTAATAATAATACACACTTATCAAAAACAATAGTCATATTTATTTGTTATCATAAATTTAAATTTACGCAATTATATTCGGAAAAGCTTACTAATATTAAAAAAGTGCAAAGTAATTTCTTGCTGAATTAAATTTAAGAAGTAAAATGTTTTCAATTAATATGTGCTTTTAATCAAATTTATTAATTTTTAATTAATTTAAGTAAAATTCAACGAAATTTTAATTAATTCTTAACTTGCACACCCTGTTTCTGATTAATTTTATTTTTTGCAGAAAAGCCAGTTATCATGCCTTTTTCATTTCCATCTGAAAATTTAAAAGAAGGTATGAAAATCTACGGAATGTGTGCTGTATCAGCCGGGGACCCACCATTTCATATATCGTGGTTAAAGGATGGCAGACCGATTTCTGCCTCTGATAGTGACATTACTATACAAATGATAGGACAAGATTTTAGTTCAATGACCATAGATAGTGCTACTACAAGGCATAGCGGACACTACACATGCGTAGTGAAAAATGATGTTGCTACTGTTAACTATACTGCTACCCTCACAATCCACGGTAAGCTATTATAATCTATTTATTATTTGAAAATTCCGTTTTTTTTTTAGTTTTCTCTTAAAAATTAATTTAATTTTGTTAAACACGAACATTTATTTCATATTTTTAATTCAGTCCGGTACACAATACATCATCAAGGAAGTTAAATAATTACACAAAAAGAAATTCCAGTGAAAATATTTAAATATAACTAGATCAAAAAGTTATCCTGTTTTAACGAATTTTTCCCTGCATTATTTATCAATGGAATTACTATTTCAGGGAAGGCGTTATAAAATGAATTAATTTTTCTTTCAATTCAGTATTTTTTTTTACTGTAATTTATTTTTACTGTAACGAAAGTTTTAATGGCAAGTTATTTTTTTTACATCCTATACCTGCAGCAACCAAAAAAAAAAAAAAAAAAAANAAATTAAAAAAAAAAAAAAAAAAAACTAAAAAGAAGGAAAAATGTTTCAATTTGGTTGGATAGAAAAATGTAACAGATGTTAGTTATAAATAATAATAATAAATATAAGGATTGTTGAAAATTTTTCGCGTCTGAAAATTATCAATTATTATTATTATTCATAAAAAAAACTATAACATTGCTTGTGAGAGCATTTAAATTACAATGAAACATACATTTATTTATAATAAGTGTTATAATATATAAAATTGTAAAATTTCTTATTTACGCTTTAATCATATTTTTATCTGAAGAAATAAAAAAATATTAAGAGCCCCTCATTAAGGAGATAAATATAAAGTCTTCTGTTATTTGCTGAATTTGATATTTAGTTTGTAAATAAGTAAACTTTTTGACTCAACTAATGGGTAATATAATCATTGTCCCAGTTTGGCGTATTCTGTTGTACATTTTAATAGTCTGTTTTCTTCCGTAGTTCCTCCTCGTTGGCGAATGGAACCAGCTGACACGAGTGTTCTTGTTGGAAGAAGCGTGTCACTTCATTGCCAAGCAGATGGTTTTCCGCAACCTCAGATTCGTTGGGAAAAAGCCTCTGGTACCTTTTATTTACTGTTTTATCGTTGCTCCTCCGTTAGGGATAATTTGTGCGCTGGCATCATTCTTGATGGAATTTTTTCCTTTAATAGAGTTTTCTCCATAGAATACTTGAAGTTGAAAAAAGAGATTACTATAAATACAGAAAATAACATCGAATACTATGTGTAAATAAAAAAAATTAAACTAAAACCATAGTTAAACTGTAAAGAATTCCGGATAAAATAACGGATAAAGTAGTGGTCAGCGTGAGCAGTCGGACCAACGCAGACATTATCTCGCATTGCGCATGCGTTAATAACGTAAACAAATATTTATTTTGAATTTGTATTGATTTTGTTATTGTCGACCAGTACTTTGGAGAACAAATAATAACTTTGTTCAAGAAAAAACACATTAGCTAAACGAAAAAGAAGAGGAAGAAGAAGCTATGTTTAATGTTAAAATCAAAATCTTGGCTGATTCCAATGCTCTGTAGGATGTTGTCCGCCATTGCTTCCGTCGTTAACGTTACGTTGTAATCCAACTGCAGTTGATTCGGACGTCAGTCGGCGTTCAAGTTGAGCTTTCGATGACGTATGCTATCTATCCCACAATTTGGCCAATCAGGGGTTAGCGCTAGCTTCAAGCTGACGTTTTGTAACGCCGACCTGTCCTAAGAAACCAGGGCATCATCCGTAAAATCCATTTTAAAGTAAAATTAATTTTTACCGTAAAATATTATATTATGATTTTTGCAGTAATATTCATTTAATTAGAATGATTCAGTGACTTAACCGTAATTATTTCTGTAAAAATGCAGTTCTTAAGTGTTTTTGCTTCGTTGCATATTCCGGTAAAAATAGATTTTTAACGAAATAGATTTTACTGTAAAAACTACCCGCACCCTGAATGACCATGCTTTTTTACCGTATTCTAATCTACAATTTTATACAGTGTACCCTTGAAACAGCTTGGATTATTCTGCTGAAGGGTTTTCAAGCAAAATTTAGTGATAGATTTGAATGCCTATTTCGTCAAGTATATTGCCCATTTCGCACAGGTACATTTTTACCGTGACTTGATTCGAAATTTTTTACAGTGTATGGAAATCTGTTTACAGAGTACGAAAATATGTTTAGTTGCAATGTTGTCTCGAAAAAAACATATGTGTGGGATAATTTTTCCCTCTAAGCTTCATTCTGCAAAAGAATTTGGTTAAAGTTTTGGTTCTAAACACTTACTCTACGCATATATTTATTTCAGATCGTTCCGCAAGAGATTACAGACCGATTAGCACGAGCTATCATCACCAAATATTTGAAAATGGCTCTCTCACAATACAAGATATAACAGAGGAAGATGGAGGGTATTACTTGTGCCAAGCAACTAACGGTATCGGACCTGGTCTCAGCAGTGTTGTTACCCTAAGTGTGCACGGTAAAGATGTATTTCCTTAATTTCACTTAAAAATCTATTAGCTATTTAAAAGTTGCACTGACATGTAAAAGTTATGGGTAAAGTAATAAATCCGGTTAATATTAATATTAACCTGTCAATATTATTAATAACCGCTTCCTATGGTCAAAGTGAGAAACCGGTCATAATTAATAATTAGCGCTTCTTTTTGTCAAAGTGGGAAATTGCTGTATCATGTTCTGTGGCAGAATAAGCACAAACCAAGTTGGTTAAGTTTTGGCAATTTCGAGGCAGCAGCCAGCTAACAACTAAAAATAAAAGTCACAGAAAGGGACTAACGTGAAAGGTATAACTAGTAATTTTTCCAGTTTAAAATCAATTTGTTGCCTCGGCGATTGCAGTTGGCGAAACAGATCACGATACGAAAATAAATATCCCCAAGCAAAACATGGAAGAATGGCATTGACCAAACTTCATTGGTTATAATTAATAATAACAACCGATCAATGCGATGAATTTGCTTAAATTTTTCACTTTAACCGGCTTATCTGGTTATTATTATTATTGAACTGCAAGTATTAATAGCAACCGACTAGTCATATTGACCGTAACATATACATTGTCCCAAATATGATCATCAGTTTGTAAAAAAATTAAAGAAAAACGGAAGAAGTTAGAAACGTACAGTCTGATGAAGTAATGTATAAATATTATAAAATAATGTATTAATATTTTCACAAAGTTACAAAACTAAATATACAGTTTGTCAACAGATAGTGCCGCTGACTCGAATTTTATTTTATAACCGTCGTTAAACAGCCAACCCGCGATTGGGTTTACTACTACTAATGGTCAACTTTGTAGCCTTGAAATTTTGAACCTAATCCAGAAGACAAAGGAACTCCTGGATCAAGTAATGGGAAAAATTTTGCCTTTTGGAGGACATTTCGATGGAACTAACCAGCATTTAAACCTCCATGAACCATGAAAACCTCCCACGGTTAGCCCGACGGCAAGGAGACTCTAACTCTTGATCCGTCCACCACTGAGGATATTTTACGTCAGCACTGTGGTCAGTGCTAGCCGAGTGTGGAATTCGTATTGACCAGCCATTGCTGGGATTCAAACCGTGTCCACCTAATTGGAAGGTGAACGTTTTATCCCCTGAGCCACTACGGCTCTGAATGGAAAAAAAAATATTAAAAAAATATTTCTGCTTCTTGTTACACATTTCCAAATCGGCGCTTTTGTTAATTTTATAATTAAAATTCGCCACATCATTGCTTTTTGCATTTTAAACGTTCTTATAATTTTTGAAATAGGGTGATAAATAAGCAAAATTTCGCAAGAGCAACGTAATAAATTGCTTGAGTTTGGTCTTTTCGCGTTTGTCATGAATCTTTTTAAATTGTACAGTCTTAGACGCTTGACTCCTAAGCACCATTGATAGTTTATTTGCATGACAGTTTTTCAAGAGGGAAACCAATTATCTGCATGATGATAAATACAACTGAAAGAATCAGTTTTCGAACAGAAAACATAATGACTTTATAAATACAATTATGTTAAAAAGAATCTGGTATTTTAAACCTTGTAAACTTCAAAAATTAGGCGTGTATGCATAGATCACTATTATTTGGCATTTTTTATCATCTTAAAATATTTTAACTTTTCGTCATTTTTAATGTATTATTATTTTATGACTTCTTTTTTCCTAAATTAACTCACTGACACTTTTTGTATAAAATTGTAATTCAAATTCACAAATAAACCTCAAAAATATAATAATAATAATCACTATATGTGAATAACGTGGACTTAGAGTTATAAACTCAAACGTTCATTTTCTTCACTCTTATAATTACGGATCATAACGAAAAATACTTAACTTTTTTAAAATTTTAACTAAAGATTTTATTTTAAAATATTTAGTTACTTTATTAATTTTCAATCTTACATGAAAAATTGTTGAATTACAAAAACTAAAGTAGCAGATCTTTATAACCAATTACATAACTTTTTGGTGCTTAATCATAAGAAATATGAACTCTATTATGTGTTTAATTTAATTCTCTAATATTTGAGCAATATTCTATAGCAACAAAGTAACTTATATTCAAACATTAATAGACATACTGTTAAATCAAATTTCATAACAGTGCAGATTAAACCATTTAAAAATGTGGGAAACCAAAGAAAAATATTTTTAAAAAAACTTTAAAAGTCCCTAAAATATTTTTTATGAATTAAAGATATAATAATTTAATCCCGAAATAATTAGCTTTTTTCGATATTTAAACTTAAGTTTAAAAATTGAATTTCTTTCTGTATTTTTAATTTTAGTTTTGTCGGAACTATTGTACCTTTTCTTTGAATGAAATTTAATGATAGATATTAATTAAATTCTTTATTACATATTTAAGTGTTATTTAAATCGTAAAAACACTTGTAATCTGTATGTAACCAGGTTTAAACTGAAGATAATATATCACTAAGAAATAATTACGAATTGCTTTTTCTAAACTGGTGTATTCTTAGAAATGAATTATAGGCAAACCTATTGCACCGACAAAATTCTGGAAAAAAAGTCATTTATTTCTTTTGCAGTGTGAAATGTCAAAATTATCGTACGAAAAGATAATGAAAGTTTCCTTAGCAGTTTGAAAATATTTATTCTTACTTTTGAAGAACATAAATATTTTTTGCAAAAAGTGATTTTTGCAATTACGGTGAAATGCTTTAGAAATTTACTGTCAGAAAAATGCAAATTGTTTTCTGGTTATATCCTTTTCAAAGGTTTAACTTGGATACATATTAAAACTTTTATACTAGGTTTGCGAATAATTTACCATGCGGACGTTGTTTTAATATTGTATGAAATATAGGCTTAACGCTTTTTAAACCATTAAAATTTTCCTACCTAATTTAAATTTTCATAACTTTTCCTTTCTTACATAAATTTTCATAACTGTCTTCCCTTTTTCTATACCATTATACTTTATGCATGATCTTGTTGAAAATTTTTGTCACTTTAAAGACTTTTATAAAAAAAATGCATGGCAATTTACTTTAACCTAACTTATGATTTAGTAAAAATAAAATTGACACTTACCTTGATTATTAGTTGAAATTAACGGATTAATATTAAAAAGGATATTAAAGGATTTAATATTACAAAGTACCATTTTAGAAACATGCATACTCGATATTACTCATGGAAATCGTGAAAATACAAAAAATTCATTTTCAGTGTTTTACTATGAATTGCTTTATTTTATTCGCCCAATTTTTTCTTTTCATTTCAATACCATTCAAATAGTTTAATCTTTGAAATTTTCAGTAAAATTTATAATGCAATATTTATACACCATAACATATTTGTCAATCAGTTTGATACATTATTTGATATATGTATCAAAATTGTAATTATAATAGTTTGGAGAATCTTTGAAATATCATAATATCACGCTAATCAGCATATCAGAGAATAATAATAAGCAAGGTTTGGTGCTTAAAAAATTATCAATTTAATTTCAAACTTTTTTTACTAAATATGCCGGTTTGTTTTAAACGTTATTGAATTATTGTTGTTTTTGCAGAATCACCTCGCTTTGAAGCAAAATTTCGAACCCAAATGGTAAAGAAAGGGGACGATGTTACGTTATCTTGTTCTGTGTCTGGAGATTCACCATTGTCAATCACATGGACCCGGGATAAACAACCATTAAATTTGGAAACAGAACCAAGGTAAGTGTTTTTATAATTGGCTAAAACTATATAGTACTTAAAAAGTATTATGTGCAGGTCCAGATATATGAACACATCAATTATTAAAAGAAGATAAAAGCATAGAGTGGTTAAAATTAAAAATACTACTGATTTGTTCAACATACCTGATTTGTTCTACATGGAGTCCGTTCTTGTGATGTCAATGAAATTTGATACTACATACCATGGAACAAAAACTTAATAAAAATTAGTTTTAATTCCAATCACCAGGTTGAATTCCATATCGCAGATGCATTCCATGTCAAATGCCTCTAAAAAACGAGTTATAACGAGTTCAACCAAATCATGAAAGATTTCTATGTCTAATACAGCAACGTGATATGCTTGCTTTTAGCTCAGTTTTAGTTTGGAAGCCACTTCAGTCCTCTATTCAGCGGCATTCCATTGTCCAACAATGTTTCCACCAGTTTAATAACAATCTTATTATAGTTAATTCAGTCATAATTGCATTATGCAAAATTTTTACTTTGCAATGACTACTGGTTTTTATACCATTCCAAGTAATTTTAAAGTTTTTCTCGTACTGAATAGCGTTGTCTGTCTGTCAAAATGTAAACTATTTTTCATTGCAGATTTTGTTCCCGTGGTTCACATTACGTTCATAACAAATTTTTTAACATCCATCCACTAAGCACCTAAAACGGGAATTTTTTTTCAATTTAAATTATAAGTTTGATTATAATTACCCAATACAACATTTCTTGATGATTTTAGCATTCTTGAAAACGAAACCTTCTACAACTTCCTTCTTTAAGTATAGAAATGGTAGAGGGTTTCAAAATGAGTATTGGCTATTGAATGATTGAACCAATGCTAAAAATCAAAATTAGCAAAATGTAGTATGTATTGTTGCTGTTGTGTCTATGCTAGTGCAAAGTTTAATTAGAGTCCTCCAAAAGTCTTGATAACAAGGTTTGCAAGTTCTGGAGCCCGATGGCCATGGAGAATTTCGATGGGAGAGTATGTATTGTTAGCTGCGCATTGTGAATTTCAAGCAATTCAATGTTCTATTTTCTCAAGTTGTGTCAAACACCTAAAGTATTCCTCTCTTTGTTGATATCATTAATTTTGTGTATTCATTTTTTGTAAAATTAGGTTCCGCAAGCAGTTAAATCTACTTTATTATTATTTTATGTTATAGGTTTCAAGTTACACAAGCTTCAAATGGAGAAAACAGATTGAAATCAATGCTTCGAGTAACCTCTGTAGGTAGAGTTGATTCAGCTCTGTATACATGCTTAGCTTCGAATACTTATGGAGAAGATGACACAAATATACAGCTGATTGTACAAGGTATGCATGCAACTTACTTAAATATTTTAAAATAAATGAAAAAAGCGTTAATAATTAAATGCCAAGGAAGAAAAATTGCTATTATAGTTGGATTTTAAAATGCGACAACATTTGCATGGTGAAAATGATTGAAAACAATCAATAATGCTTTTTCTTGTGCTGGTATTTATTTAAAAAGGAGATGCCTAATTTTTTATATACAACAAGCCAATTAAAGTTTCGATGCGCCTGTAAATTCTGCTATTTTTTGTTACTATTTTACGTTTACAATTTCAAATATAGAAAAGGGTAGAATATGTTTCAATTAGGATTGCATGCAGTTAAATTAGGTAACGAATGCCAGTTTCATGAAATCCCACACTATTGGAATTTTCATTCTAAAATTATGATAAAATGACTGGCAGCAATCTGTTCATCAAACAACCGCAAAGTTTATGGTAAAGAGCATTTTTTTATATTTGTGATTTTGTAACCGTTTGCAACAAGTATGGTTAAAAAATCATGTTTACGAAACTATGTAGTTTTTTTAAACCATTTACAACTAGCATGGTTTCAAAAACACAAAAAATAAGTTTTACTGGACATTCAAGATAGCTTAAAAGATTTATGGTGTGCAGTCATCTATGAGAGAATGAGAGTATTGTATTCTATATGTATAATATTGCGTTGTCTACGCTAGGAATCGAACTCCCAATCTGTTGGTAATGGTTGGCAGATTACCCTTCTTGGCTATAATATGTACCCATCTGCAAAGAAAGTGGTTCTATTAGGTGGGCCTAGTTGGTGCGATAAAATCTTGGTTGTGTAACCATATTACGTGAAAGCAGTTAATAAATGGTTTTCTCACAGTTAACAATTTGAATACCATCTTTTTTATGGTTATTTGACTTTGAAATTAACAATTAAATAAATTGTTATTTCTAACAGGGCAATATAATATAGTTAGAAGTTATTTTTTGTACGATAATTTGATGCGCTGATTTCTATAAAGTAAATGTAAAATAGATTCAATGTGTTATGCTTGAAAAATGCTTTGGCAGGGAAAAAGGGATAATTTTTGGTACCCCGAATGGACAATTGCATCATCTCTTATTTTTATTTTTAATCCGAACTTATTGGAATTTTCTCCCTGAAACCGAATATCTAATTGCTTTTTTTTCCTCCAATGTTTGTTTATTTAATTATTAAACATTTAAATTGCCCATAAAAGAATCTGTAAGTGAGGCGATCAAAAATGATCCCTGATTGGTTATGACATCACGTGTGCTGAATGTAAACGTGCCTCCTCCGTTCTCTAAGGCTATTTCAACGCTCTTTTAGTTTTGATATCACTTATAATCGCATGGATATCCTTTGTATAATGATAGTAAATATTTTGTGAATTAAATTTACGGCTTTGAGAGTGTGTGCAAAATGGAAGAAAGTTTTTTAAACTTCAAACTGTTTACCCATCACTAAAATAGCTGAAGAAATGTTTATTCAACTTTTTACAACGAATCAACATTTCTATTTGGATGAAATCAATGGTGTTAAAGTTCATAGAAAATATTATTTTATTCCACTTATTTTTAAGTTAATATAATGCTCAATTACAGCCTTATTACTAAATTAAAATTAGTCCCAGATTGGATGGAAATAGTATACATTTCGATATAGGGTGGATGAATTTATTATTCGGTATTGCATTTAAAAATCAGTGTATTCATAAATCTAGTCTTTTAAAACATATTCAATCAATCCATCATCATTATAACTCATGTGCTATTGTTTAAATATTCAGCTGATTAAAATTTAGGTTTGCCTTTTTATTTATTTATTTTTACTCGAGTTGAACCATGAATGCTTTTATTTTTATATTTTTTAACCCCTTAACAATCGGTTAATTTTCAAGAAAACGGTCATAAAAGTGATTATTTTTTTATACACATATATTATATACGTATTTGATTAGTGCTGATATCTAGTTTAAAAAGAACTAACTATCTACAATTGCCTTAAAAGTACCTTGATACTGCCATCTGGTGTGTGAAATGAGAAACAAAATGTTTCTCGAGCAAAAGAAATGAATTAGTTTTATTCTTATTGGCGCACAACTGAAAAACACTCCAGCCCGGAAATATCACGGGAGCGAGAAATAGAGGGCGAAACCTCACCCCGTCATTTTCACGGGAGCGAGAAGGAAGGGGTTAAAGTAAATATTTACTAATGCAGTTTATTTCTTCTTATTTTTTACTATGTATTAAATATTTAAAAACACATTAATGCTGATATTTATTCCTAAAATTGTTTTTTGAGAAAACTAGGAATTTTGCTGCAGTTAGAAATTAATTTCAAATTTATAAATTTTAATTCCTCTTTCTGCAATATAGTATTTACAAAGTATGGTTATTGTTATTTTTTCTCCTTATTTTTGCAAGCTATTTGTCAGTGTTTGTAAAAAAGAATTCTAAAATAGTAAAATTAATGTATTATACATTTTTAATGAAAAATATTTAATTAAAATAGGTGAAAAAATAGCAGGTTAATCATTCTGTATCGCCGAAAACGGAACAGCACTTTCACGAATCTAGTTCATTAAAACATATCTGTCCATCATCATCGTCTTCGCTACAATCTATGCGCTTTTACTTAAAATTTCACATATTGTAATTTAATTTAGCCACATAGTTTCAGCGAACTAAGCTAAACTTTTTTTATTTCACTAAATCTAAAGAATTGAAAAAAAATATGCAAAATGAAAGGAAATTCAAAAGCAAATGATTGATTATTTATTAAAAAATTAAATATACAATAATTTTGATATCGTTCTCATTATTTTTATTCCTTGAGTAAGTATGATTTAGCTGCACCAAAAAAATTTTTTTATACGCATTAATACAATTTAATTCCTGTTTCTGCTGTGTAGAAAAAAATAAATGCATATTCATGATTTCAATACTCTTATAACGTAGATTAACATTAATTAAAATAATGTGAATAAAATCAACTGGAATATATTAATTTCTTCTTTTTCTTTTAACTTAAAAACATTTTTTTAAAAGAATGAATTAAAAGTTAGGCTGGGATCACAATTTTTTCCAAAAGACTACTGCCATTCTGAAGAAAATTCCCTGCATTAAATTCCAGCTAGAATTAATAAGTGAAAAAAATTAATAACTTAAGCTTTTCTACATTTTTAAATTCTTTACAAAAAAAATTGGTTCAACTTCTTGTTTTCACTTAACATGAAAATAAATCTTCGAAATGAATTTGAAATATACTTTAAAATTAATAATATCAGGCATCCATAACTCATGCTAACGCCTTTTTTAATAAACTAAAAAAATCTTACTGTTCTAGAAAATTTCGTCAACTATTAACAATGTTTCAGTTGATGCCATTGAAATTTAAAATATTATAAAAATACGTTATATTTGTCCCACATTTTCATTAAGCTACATTAGGGCACAATATATTTCGTCAACTATTAACAATGTTTCAGTTGATGCCATTGAAATTTAAAATATTATAAAAATACGTTATATTTAGCTCACATTTTCATTAAGCTACATTAGGGTACAATTTATTTCATCAAATATTAACAATGTTTTAGTGGATTCCATTGAAATTTAAAATATTATAAAAATACTTTATATTTATCCCACATTTTCATTAAGCTACATTAGGGTATAAATTATTTCATCAAATATTAACAATGTTTTAGTAGATTCCATTTAAATTTAAAATATTATAAAAATACGTTATATTTATCCCACATTTGCATTAAGCTACATTAGGGTACAATCAATTATGCATATCTTCGTCCTCATATAGTTATTTACCATCTAAACTAATTGGATTTAATTACGAAAATTCAAACGAAAGCAAGAACGCAATGGCTTTCACAGAACAGCGATTGTAAACGAACGACAGATGGGCACGCGTGACGTCAATTCATGAATAATCACGTGACTCTCCATTTCTGACGAAAACGAAAGTAAGCATTTTTTGGTGAAAAAAACTAAATAATTAGCACTATTAGAAAAGTAATAAAATGTTTTCCGGGATTTATAAAGGATTCTCAATGCGTTAGGATTTTTAAAAAAATGACTGTAATCGTCCATTCTAGCAGTATGGCTTTTCAAAATGACAATTCACCCTCTGATTCTGGGTGATCAAGAAAGTATTTAAAATATATTTATTATATTAAATAATAATTAACCTTAATTTCATTCAATAAATTCAGTATTCGGGGATCTAGTAAAAAGAATTGAAATAAACTGTTATGTTTGCAATTCGAATAATTGGGAAATTTTAAAATATCTTTAAAGAGTGCAATTATTACTAGATAAAAAGCTAAAAATATCAGTTGAACCTAATTGTGGGATTAGTAAGTCAGTTAGGCGGGTTTCATTTCGACTGTTTAGATTGTTCTTGAGTAGCAACCGAGTAATTTTTGTTGAGAGCAGTTTGATTGCTTCCTAGTGATGTTATAGTTGAAATAGAATCTCGTCTGGTGAAAATAACACGGATTACAAAATCCTTTGGAAAGATGCATGGGAAGGTAACTTGAGATATTTAATTGCAGAAAAATAAACGTAACTTAAATGGTAGGAAAGATAAATAAGATTTTCGATTAAGAGTTAAATCATATTAACTAACTTATGCTTAAATAATGATACAGAAAAAAAAAACTTTTATAAAATATATAATGGAACAATGACTTTTCGTAAAATTAAAATTAATTCAAGCATCTTTTGTAATCAACCAATATGTAAAGATTCGACCATCTCTGATTTAAAGCTCCTTCAATTATAAATTTATTAACTCATAATGATCATCAATCATCCATAAAACTCATTATAAATTATTTATAATGAGTTACTACGAGAAGGTTTGTGTTGCCACGTAAACAAAATAAAATAGAAGAACAATTAACCTTGAATAACATGATTAGTTTCGCATTCTTTTTTGCAATTGGTACAACCCGGAAGTCGCATGAAACATGCTGGTTAATCTATGTTAACTATTATTCAGAATGCGAAAACAGACCACAATACTTATTATCTCTTTAAAAAATAGCAACGTGTGCAGTGAACTGTTTATTATTTTTCAACTGTCTGTGACACAATTTTCTTTAAATATTAATTATTCAATTTCAGAAATTATGAAACTAAATTTTAAAAAAAAGTATCTTAAGGATTTGAATTTTAAAAATTTTAATTCTTACTGATTTCCTTAATTATACATTAATTTTCTTCATTAGTTAGTAATTTAAGATATTTTCTTGAATTTATTATTAATTCTGATTAAAAAAGTTCAAATTCATGACTAAAAATTATTTTGTGTGACTGATATTAAAATCTATCATGCAATTTATCACTAAAACAGACTAGTCAATTACTCAAATGAATTTCAAATCTAATGACTCCATATTCAAAATTATTTATAACGGCCACTCTACCTCACATTTAATTAAATTCCGTTCTTTACTGTTAGAAATTTCTCCGAAAAAATGGTTAAATAAAACTGGTTTAATTGTTATTTTACAATATTCAAGCAAAACTGTCAAATAACCATAAATAAGATGGTAATCAAACTGTTAACGGTGAAATAAATCGTTTATTAACAGATTTAATCTAATACGGTTAAATAATAAGAATTTTATCACACTTTCTAATCCCAACTAATGAAGCCAGTTAGTTCCTTGCGACTTGCAAGGAATTCTGCATGTATTCCTTGCGAATACATGCAGAACTAGAGTTCGAGTCCCAGCGTTGACTGTAAAATATTTCCGCCATTCCCTCCAACAAGAGTTTCCCGTGTCCTACAGTCCCCACTTTGTGTCCTGCTCTCTACAATGTCCTATTTCCTTTTAAATTTCTTTTTTACGGTTTTGAAACCATGCTGGTAGTAAATGGTTGAAAAACTGTATTTCTTTGTATTCATGGTTTATAACTATACTAGTTGTAAGCAATTTCAAAACCGTAAAGGCACAAAAAAAGTTCTTTACCGTAAAATTTAATGTTAATCGGATGGACAGACTGCTGCCGATTATTTTACCATAATTTAGGAATGGAAATTCTTAATGTTGTGTATAGTATGTTAGATAAGTTAAAGACCTTCATATATTTTGACAGTGCCTACAGATAAAAGTAACTGTAAAGTCAAATAGTACTTCTGATATGCTTTGTCGCATGTAATCAAAGTTTTTGTTTAATTTTTTATATCAATACAGTTTTATGAGTTCAGGTCTTTTTATTACGTTTTATCGTGACAAACCCTAATTTTCTTCGACTTCCAGACATAAAAATTATTTCAACAAAATATCCGAAAATAGTTAACCTATATTGCATTTACTTTTTACTTTATAGTTACTGTTTATTTAACTGTTATTATTGAAAATCATTGATGTAAATAATAGAGTGAGTCATAAATTGCTTAGTTTATTTAACTTAACGAATTTTTTTTTTAGACGGCAGTATACCTTGCTTTGGTTTTTTTGAAGCTCTGTAAAGATTATGTTTAATATTGATTTCGTTATTGATTAAAAGTAGAAAAAACTTGATCATTAAAAATACTTAATTCTTTTTTTCGAAGTTAGTAGGTTAAATTTGACGTGAGTTTGATGAACAACCACTATTTTTTGTTTATACTTTTGTTCGTAATATTGCTACATATTACGTAATATTGCTACATATGCTGAATTTGTTACATATTTTGAGCACAAAACAAATTGTACCGAAAAACAAAAGAAAAAAAAAGAGAGAGAGAGCAAAATTTCGCATAAACACGTGCTTAAACTTGCAATAACAATTAAACTTAATGGGATTAAAAAAATTTTTTTAAAGTTTAGAAACAATTATGTGTACGCATCAATAAAATTCGGGTTTCAAAATTACTCAATCATCTTTCTCTCTATGTTAAAAAATCGTAACGTTCTTCGTTACCGCAATTTTAATTATTCAGCTTAATGTTACATGTTATTTTGCAGAGCAAACTCTTTCAAACGTAGAAACTAGAAATAACGAAGGTGGGTAGAAAAATGCATGGAAAATACTATGGGATAAAAAAATCAACATCCGATAATTAGTTCGACAATTATTAATTGTTAAACATGTAGGTAAAATGCCATACCAGCCGCATTGGCTTTCTGAAAAGGCCGTAACTCTTTAATATACATAACACAAAGTTTTATTTATTTATTCATATATTTTTTTTTTTTTTTTGAAATTCCAATTTGTTCAAAAGTTATTACAAATTTAAGTGATTTTTAGCATTTTCTCTTTTTGTTTTATGTTTCATTATGTGCTGTCATTCATTATCAAATATAAATTTGTCACAAAGAAATTAATTAGTTCAATCATTCATTACAAAGCTATATCATCATGAAAAATATGTTTAGGTTGTCCCATATTTATCCGAGGACAGGTTTTTGCTTGTTCCTTAAAATCTAAATAAGTACAATAAAATTCCTCTTCAGCGTATGTTTTTTCTACTCACTCTTTTAAAAGGTTAATTTCTTAAATTTCTTAAATTTCTAAAATTTTAACGCTTATAATTTTGCCCATATGTCATTTCTCTTTTGAGAACATAATAAAGTTTATACCTTTCATGAAGCCGACTGGCCAGTGTAGGGGTCGGGGAACTGGCCTTACACTTGAAAGGTTCTGGGTTGGAATCCCGGGCAAGGCATTGATGTCATTCTCTGTACTATCTGTCCTTACTGTAGGAGCAACGTTGGCCCACCTAATATGGTGCCATGAAAGAGTGGCCAACAAATCTGATTTTCAGATGCCTGTACAACGAAGGTAATTCTTCAGGTGGGCATTGGAGAAAAATACTTTTCATTAATTTTACCAATAATCAATTTTGTAGTCATAGTTCGCAGCGGCCAATAAGGAAACTAAAAATGCTTTTTAAACATAGATAACCAAAAAGTCGTATTTTTAAAATACGATTTCTGAGGAACTGTTTGACCAATTTCGCTCACATTTTGTATTTTGTCATGTAAAATTACATTCTTTGAAATGATATGAAGATTGTATTTCTTACTATTAAACTTTTTACCGTTACATATGATAATAAAAAATATTAAATCTTCAGTAAAAATTATTTTTTACATCAAATTTTCTTTGGATAGATTTTTGTAATTTTGTGCAAAATTTTTTGATTCGCTTGAAATGTTCTCGAGATGGGGCGATATACCTAAAAAATAGAATTAATTTTAATAGGTCCAAGCTTTGGACCATTCTCTTGACCAAACTATTGGGACAATCTTTTCCAGATCGCGAAGTTGGGTGTCAGAAATTCAACTCCGTCAAAAAGAAGATGTATTTATTCAGATAAAGTAAGTTTTTTTGTGTCTGATTTTGCAATTTAAAATGTCCTCTTCATTAAATAATTAGCATATTCAAGGTCACCTCCTCGAACTAATAAGATTGAGTACTAGAACTTGAAGATACCGTCATTATATCGAAAGTTATTCAAGGTGGTCCTTTTTTTTCCACACTATGCACAACAAATTTAAAGTTTTTAATCAAATGATGTGCTGAGTACTTTTTTAATTTATTGTTTATCTTAATTTAAATCATTTAACAAGTACTTCCGAAGCATTTTCGTTTAATATTTTGCCAGTTAAGTTGACACCAATGCCCTTTATAAGTATTTTTTAACTTCGTATTTGTATTTGTAACTACTTCAATGATTTTCAGAGCAACCAGATGCTCCTAGAGAAATTCAAATTTCTGAAACAGGAAGTCGAGTAGTTCGTTTGTCGTGGGAACCACCATTCAGCGGAAACAGCCTGATCACTCAATACGTTCTCCATATTCGAGAAAATGGTAAGAATATTTTTATTTTGTACTTTATTGCTCTATTCTTTCATAATTTTGAAATAACAATTGAAACCTCGGCAATGCGATTCGCGAAAAAAATTAAAAAAGTGATTTGTAATAAGAAAATTTTTTTGATACTTTAAAATTATCAGCAAATTAAATCAACCGAGAAAAAAACAAAAATTTTTCTTTTGAAAAAAATATTCGAATAGTTTGGAAATTTTAAAGCAAATTTAAGGGCTGTAGTTATGGCCATAGGCATTATTGCTTAAGTAACAGTTAAGCCCAATTGTGGGGTGGGGAGAAGTTAGTCAGTTAGGCGGGTTTCATTCCAACAGTTTAGATTCTTCCAGATCAGCAACCCAATAATTTCGCAGAGAGCAGTTATAGGTGATCCCTTCATAGCGGTAAATATTTGTAATAGAATTTCGTTTAGTTAAAATTATTTGTACCACAGTTTTAATAATATTTTTTTTTTTTATAATTTTAATATAAATTACTTTTTAGAAGGAGTTTCACATATTTTTGTTAAATTTTTTACTTTTACACTGAGCATTGTATTATTAAAACAACTATATAATGTAAAGCATTTCAAGCATTTCAAAACAATTTAAGGTGCATATTTTAATTGCTTCATTACCAATTTTTTTGAAAAAAAATACAAAAATTCAACATATCTCTTTATTTTGTTAATAAATGCAAGGAACTAAAACAAAACATAATACGCAGAATTTAACTTGAAATTTTAACTTTTCTTATTCGTAAGAAGCATTTTATTTACCATCAGTTTACTATTCAGAGTTATCTCGGGAAAATGAAAAAAGTTAAATATTAGTCTTTGTATGATAGTTTTTTAAACAAGGGGCAACACAAATTGATACTTTTTAAACGCCAGTGATGTAATACGCCATTTTTTAACTTTCTTTTCCTATATAAAAGATATTTGCAAGGGAAGTTTGTTTTACTCTTTGCATGTTGGTTTGTTTAAAGGAATCTTTACAATATAATTTTAAAGAAATAAATTTATAAGCTCAGTTTCATTGGTAAAACAGATATGAAATTGAACTTCATACGGCAAAATTATTCGATACCTTAATCAAGTTGCGCTTATAAAGTCTTTGTTTTTCTTTATTTCATTTCATTTCTTTCATTTTATCACAATTTTTAAACTATTTGAGTCAGTATACTATGTTTACTACGAGGTTTTGTTTTAATTTGGTTGCAATACCATGAATACTACACAATAAAGTTAAATGTGAACGGAAACATGATGTAATTAGCATTTTATTGAAGTAGCAATAAACTTGTACATAATATATTTAGCAACCACACATTGCCAAAATTGAACCAATTTATCTAAAAATATATGTTTGTAAAAAACATAATTTTTCAAAATTTCATTTATATTCTTATATTAATTTTGTAATTTCTTTCGAATTCAATTTTAAAGAGAATAGCAAATCAAGACTTAAGTAAAAACGTTTCTCTTTTCTTACTAAGTAGCCTCAACTTCAAGGAATATGTCAGTTCCTGGTACGGAAACATCAGCTGAATTTACTGGTTTACGGCCCGCAACTGGCTATGACGTGTCGTTAATTGCAGAGAATGTTATCGGGGCAAGTGGCCAAGGAAGAAGCTTCCATTTTAAAACAGAGGAAGAAGGTAAATGATGTTTTCATGGACAACTTAAAATTGGATTTTATTGTATTTCGTATCGTTTTCGTTTTATAGTTCATATAATGATCTATTCATATAAAGAAATAAAGAGTTTAGTGGAAGAATGCTCTAAAAAATATTTTTGAGTAAAAAAGTGAGACATTTCGAGGACACAATCTAATTTGACGTCAATGTAACTTTATGAAAATTAATTTTCTTTTGCAAGACTAAGTGCCGAGATCAGTGGATAAAGAAAGCAAATGATTAACCTTTGGTGTTTTAGGTCAGAAGAAAATTATGATTGCATTTTGTGACCAACACATCATCTAGACCGCATTTAATGCCTCATACGGTAAAACACGATTATTAATAAGTGTTAAGAACTTATTCAAAGCTTTATAGATTTATTAGAAACTTGCGATAATTACATAATACCAAGTCAGAACAGCTATTTTCAACGTATACATTTAAAAGTTCTTTTCAAATTAACTAAAATCTTATATGAACTCTTCTATTGATGATGTGCTAACTCTTCTATTTCGCATTCTCAAGTTTCATCAGAAAATTACAATAAAGTTGTATTAATTGAAGTCAGAGCAAATATTTATTTATATGCTAAAATATTCTTTATAGTTTTTATTTTTACTTAAGAAATCATTTATTATTATCTTTCTCTTTAATTTTTAAATATTTTGAAATGCATTTACCATTTTTATATCACTATATAAATCTAAATCTAACGTATTTATAAATTGCTAATAGTAAATGCTTACAGCAAGTTTCACTTTTAGAATTCATTTTTTTAAGATCTCTGAAATATAGATGCTCTATGCTTTAAAAATTGCTACTAATAATATTGTTTTACAAAATATTCACACAATTTTAATTTTTAAATACAATACTACTAAGTGCATTTACTATTCTTATATTACTATAGAAATCTAAATCTAACATTGTCTTTTTACATTACTAATGGTAAATGCTTACAACAATTTTCACTTTTTGAATTCATTTATTTTAAGCTCTCTGAAATATAGATGCGTTACGCTTTAAAAAATGCCACCAATAATATTGTTCTACAAAATATTGTTTAAAAAATATGATAGAACACAGAAAGTTAGGTCAGTGTTCATTTAAAGTCAAACAATTGATCATCATAATTGTTTGTGACCGTCTTAAAACTTAATAAGTCAAGCTTCTATAAAAGGTTATATTGAAAAGTATAGTATTAAAAGACTGCCAAAAGGTATATTGCTGTATCAAACTCAATAAAAACTAGTGTTGTTTTGCGGGTATTACTGCTACCAATTACCTCCAAAATTACTGAGAAAGATACTGAGCATTTGATGGAAATCTAACACAAAATTTCTGCCATATCCTGAGGCACCAAAACATTACCCAGGTCACGTTCTGAGAGTATAAGAGTTGTATTACAACACTCTCCAATAAATTGATTTTATGAGTTGTTTTACTAGAATAAAACGAAACGAACTAGAAAAGACTAAAAGAACATTTATAAAATTATTAAAATGTAAATGTCATGCAAAACGTTAATATTTCTTACTAATCGACTTATATGCATTTAAGCAATAAATAATTCGTTTATCACAAAGTTATAATTATGAAAAGATGCAAGCGCTATCTTCTTATAAAAATTTAATTATGTTAGAGATATTTTTTACTTAAATTTTATATACTATTTTATGTATAAAATTACTATAATTTATTATTGTAAAAAATAATAATTCATTATTATAAAATATTATAACTTATTATTATAAAATATTATGATTTATTATTATAAAATATTATAATTTATTATTATAAAATAACGTAATTTATTATTACTATTGCTTAAATTTAATAATTACACTGTTATTTGCTCTAAATATCTATATTTTCCTAGACGTTGCAGGTAATAAAATATTAAATCTTAGGAAGCGGGGTTTTTTTTATTCGTCACCAAGCCATTGAACCTCTTTGCTCGGTATACATTCTGCAATAAAAATATTAAACAATGGAAATTTTAACAAAAATTAAATATTATGCTGTGTTAGCTTTTTTTGTCTTTTGAGTTAAATATAAATGCATTTTTTGTAGAATTGTTTGACCCTGTATAAAATGTATGTTTAAATAACGTAAAAGTACTCGTTCTAGGAACTTTTTTTTATATTATCTTTCATTTCGTTCGACTAAATATTGAAATTCTGAAATAAAAAGAAATCAATTGAAAAAAATTCTTTTTACGATTTTAAACTGCTCTGGTATGATATTAAACATTTTAGTTAACAAGTTAAGTTTCAAAATTGATTTTTAAAACCTTTTTGAAATTCGCAATTGAAAGAATAAAATTAATATTTAAATAAAAGGGAGAAAATTCCTTGCAATATCTGATTTTAAGCACTACAAAACTTTATATTCCACAAGATAATTAATTTAAATAATGCGCAATTGTTAATTTTTACAATAAATATTACTTTATAATAATTGTATATTTTAAGCGAAATTAAATATTGATTATGAAAAATAAAAAAAAACATTTTTTCTGATTTTTAACTCGAATAAAAAATATAGTTTGCAATAAAAAAATACAGTCTCTGTTCTCGTTTATTTAGAATTAAACATATATAAGTTAGACACAATAAATAAAATAAAACAAATAGCTCTAATTTATTGAAAATATGAGAGACATTGGTACTTACTTATAATAGCTTTAGAACGTCAAATGCATCGAGCTTAGAAGTCAAAATCACAAAAATGTAAGTGAAATTCTATGTACTCCTTAAAATAGCTTATTTAATGCACTCGATTATGCGTTTTAATTTCTTACAAGGTTTTTCTTATGAATTTAATATTTATGAAGATTTGAAGCTCACTGTAAGAAGAATCGATAGACTCTAATAGAAATACCAGACGGTTATGATGTGCCAAGAAACTTTTTTAAGAATTAGGAAACACTCTTGCTAATAGCCAGTAATTTTTCTGGAATAAATTAGTAACTTTGAGTTGTTCTTTTTTAAGTCACTTTTAACCACATCTGTTATCCTAGTTGGTTTAAAAGGGTCCTCTAGCGAGAGTGATGGATGATGGAAAGTAGTAGAATTTGTGATTCAGTGAATAGGAATGTGATAATTGCGGTACTGTCTTCTAGGTATCCCTGAAATGATTGTGTATTCTTATTAGCTGAAACCACCAATTGAGAATTGCGTGTAAAAACTCATTATAAAACTAGTTGGATGTGTGATATAATACAACTGAATCTTGCATCAGTAACTCCAAACTAATTGTTTAACTAAAAACTCTTCATACGTATTAGGGATATAGGAAATGTGTTATTTTTCGTTTTGGGAGTTGAACTTCTGATGAATTTGGACTGATTAATTAATAGAGGATATGAGCTTATTTGTCTCAGCTCGGTGGCTTCATCACAGAATTTAGAAATTATTTAAACTATGTTATCTATGGTTTAATAATAAGTGCATGAAAATGTAATATACCTCAAGTAATTAAGGTATGTATCATGAATATAGTGAAGTGCTGCATCCCCCCCCCAAAAAAAAATTGAATTTAGGAAGTTTTTCTCAGGGAAACTCGAATTTTCTGCAGAGAAATATGATACGAGTATGTGGTAAAAACCCAAAACGTCAATCGAAACTGGATGTTACAGAATTATCTTACAGTGCTGTTTTAAGAACATGCATTAAAAAAAAATCGAATCTTTTTTTGTATTATCAATTTATTTAATGGTTTCGCTAAAAAGAGCTTTATCCCTTTTCAGTGCCTGAGGGTCCTCCACTTTCTGTAAAAGCTGAAGCAGCAAGTTCAGATGCTCTTAAAATTTCATGGGAGGTATGTCTGATTTTAATATAGTCTGATATAAAGTTGGAATTTTGATAAATACTACTTGTTTTTCTTATTAAAATAATATCAAGATGTACACGATTACAAGAAAATACACATTGCTTTAGTATTCCGTGATCATACGTTCTTAAATGAAAATATTGGAAGAATTTTCTATAGAGAACCATTTTGGAAGGTTTGAGAACCATTTTATTTTATTTTTTGAAATGTTTCTAACAGATTGGACACACGTTGCTCTAAGTTATGTCGTCATAATTCGTTGTTATTACTTATTGATGGTTTCTTACTTTGCCATTTGCAGAATTTTTATATTACACTTAAACCATGATATGAAACTTTTTTTAAATATAACTTGGAATTTATTATTTATTTCGGCAAATAGATTTTAGTTTTTCCTCAACTTTACAGTAAAAAAAGCATTTTATTTTTGAAAATCTTCGGCAATATTTAACTGTTAAGATTTATTTCGGCTTTGAAGGTAAGTCTTTGTAAATTTCTAATTTATTTTGTGGTATAAAGACTAAATTTGCTTGTTTTAAACTTCATTTAGACTTGCGTCATGCAGACGTCTAAAAATATTTTTAACACGCCTATTTTCATTATATTTCTTAAACTGGTTAATGTCAGCCATAATTTCAATCAATAATATTATTTCAATCAATAAGATTCATTAATCAATACGATCGTTTTGAGTGAGGACAAACCTTAATTTTGAACTTAATTTAAAACATTTTAACATTTAAAATTAGATTTTTAAACCGATAATAAGAGTTAAAATATGGTATAAAAATTATAAAAAATTATCATATCTCATAAACAGTTACAAGAATTCGAAGAAAGTAACCAAGCGTTTTTCATAACCAATTTTATAATCTATATCTCTAAATTTTTACTTATACTACGTTATTTTTAAGAATTGTTAAATGTGATGCATAGATTTACTTTAAAAAACCGTTTTCAAATCACTTATTTTTATAGTACTAATAAAAGTAATTCAAAAGCAACAATTTTGTGTCAGTATTACGTTTCAGTGCAATAATATGATTCAAACGTTTTTTTAATCGAATGCATGTAATAGAATAAAAGCTTAATAGAATGCATTAAATTAACAAATTAATTTAATTGAAATCGAATTTACAATTACTTCCTTAAATTTTTTCATCAAAAACTCGTTTTTCCTTAAATCTTTTTCATAGCCTCCTGAAAAACGATTTAGAAATGGAAATCTGAAAGGTTTTTACGTCGGGTATAAAAGTGCCAACTCTTCAGAACCGTATCAGTACAAAACTGTTGACGTTACTACATCAGTAGAAATTAGAGAATCAACGGACCTCCGAGGCCTTAATCCATTTTCCCACTATAGCATTGTTGTTCAGGCATTTAACCTTAAAGGAGCTGGTCCAAGATCAGATCCTGTTATAGCAATGACAATGGAAGATGGTAAGTTATAATCCTATGAATCCTTGTTTAAACCTATAATTTATGCTTTATTTCAGAAAAAAAGAGAAATTAAGAAAATAAAAGTATTAAGAGAATAAAAGTATAACAGTCTTTAAAGTATAAGTTTTTGAATTTAAATGAAGGTATAAAAGAGATAAGTTAAGAGGATTATTATTTTTAGCTGAAAATTTTGCTTATCCATTCCTCAGCACAAACAAAAAAAAAATGATTCATAAAAATGTAATTTAATAAATCTATTAATTTAATTCAAATGAATAAATTATTATAAATCATTCATAGAAATCAATTATTCATTTCAAATTAGAGACATTTTGTTTATCCAACCTTCGACGTAAATGAAACTTCGTGCTTCATGCGAGTATATTATAATACATTCCTATGAAGCACGAAGTTTCTTTTAGGTTGAGGAATGAATAAGCGAAATGTCATTGGTGGAAATGAATAATTGATTTATTTGAATAATTTATTATGATTAAATAATAAAATAATTAAATTTAATATTATTATGTAACCAAATTATTTTAATAGTTTATTAATGATAAATAATTAAAAAAATTCAAAAGTTATTCCACCAAAAAATATGACTTGCCTGGCTAAATAATATGAGACTTTTTTTCCAAAAAAAAATCATGAAAGATATATTTTTAAGTCAATTTATATATTTTAACCTTGGGTAACAAGAAATTTTCAACTACCAAAAGCGTCATAAAGCTGAAAAAGATTTTCGAATTCAAACTTTCATTTTCCAAAGTGAAGAATTTTACAAGTTTTGTATACTTTAAAATTGTTCAATTAAGCGTAAGTTCTAAGTGTTTAAGAAGAAATCTGAAAACGAATTCTGAAAAGTGGTCATTAACGAACGCCTTTTATTTCGCGCTTTATTTAACAAATAATGCTCTAACAAAAGTACTGTCTGTTTATATCTGCATGTGTTATTTATCGTTTCAAAAATATTGTTGGAAAAATACATAAAAATCTAAAAAAGTGGTCATAATAGATCATTTTTATTGCATTTCTCACTTAACATAAAATATTCTGATACAAGTACCATGTATTTTTACTTGCAAGTGTTATATATCGTTTTAAAAATATAATAAGAATAAATAGGAAAGTTAATTTTTTGTCTCAATATTTATGGGAGTTTTCAATATTTAAATTAAGTAATTTTTTAGTGCCAAGTGTACCTCCTCAACAAGTCGATTGCATGGCACTGACGTCACAAACTATTAAAGTCACGTGGAATTCTCCTCCTGCGTCTGCAGTCCATGGTGTCTTGAAAGGATATAAAGTTTTTTATAGATCAGCTGATGATTGGAGAGGTATGATGAATTATGATATTTAGAAAATCCTGTGTAAATATACTGATATAGTTTAAAAACATTTCCATGTAGAAGTTTGCGAGTTCTTTGATAAAAATGTAAGTTTATAAGGATGCATGAAAACGATTTAATATTCTTATTAATTTTAGTATATCTAAAAGTTAAGAGGAAGAAAATGGTGGAATGGTTGGTGAAAATAAAGTTATTGAAGAAACTGTAACAATATTGCGCGGTAAATAAAGTATGCCCATATCTCTAAAATAATTTTTTTAACGAAACTGTTATAAAGGAATGCGTTGAAGTAATATTTCCCCAAATGAAGGAAATTATTTATTTCTACTACTTGATGATTCTGCTTCTATTAGTCTTACGACAAGATACACCACCCCATTATAAACAAACGGCTAGCCCAAATTTTTAGTCATACATCTCTTAGCAGCCGTGTAGGAATGCTATCCAATTTTTACATCGCACAGTGGGCCAGCATCCAAGGTTTCGTGGCCAAAATTAGTATTTCGATAAAATTTGCTTCAAAATTTGGGGGTTTTAATGTGCAGGTAAATTGGATTCATAGTTAAAATTTTGAAATACACTAAAAATACCCCCCCTCCCCCCAAATAAAATGGCGGCTGAAATATGGTGAGCAAAAGTTAAAAAAAAAATTATTATACGTTTAAATAATTAAATATAGCAATGAAAATAAAATAATTTTCGTAATTTTATATTGAAAATGAAAAATAAATTATATTCCCGTAGTAATATTACAAAATAACGCGAATTAATTTCAAAATAACACGAAAACATGAAGAAAAACATAATTTTTGTTTTTCGGTATATTTAGTCCACCTTTGCATATGGAACTTTTTGGAGATAAGTTTCGAAAGCGATTCAAACATTGTAAAATTTCAAATGATAAGTAATAAACTATAAGTTTGTCCAGAGTATTAACTAATCCAACAAATTGAAAAATTGTACTATAATTTCAGACTAATTACTCTGATAAAAATGTAACAGTAAGGTGAAATTCCTTTATATATTTCTGAATTATAAAATTAAAAGTTGCATTTAAAAAAAAATTTAACGTATTTTTCATTACATTGTACTCTTGTCGGTCCAAAAAGTAAATTATAATGTTTGGAATGATTATGAATATTTAATTTAGGTGATATTAAAACTGCCCACACATATTTTAGTTGAAAATATAATTTTGACTTTTGGCCAAAGATCATGGTCTTCTGGCCCACCGAGCACCGGTCAGACAACATGGACAGTGTCTTGGTTGGTACCCTTCCCTTTAAATTTGTCTCCAGGATCGAAATTACGACCCCCAGCTCTCCACCAGTGTGGTGAGCGCCTGCACCCTTAGAGTGCAAGGTTTAGAACATTTCAATTAAAAAAATGATTACGAAATAAGAATAAAAAGCCGGACAAATAATATGTCGCTACTAGGACTGGGCGATATAAGAAATTTTATATCGTGATGCATCGTCAGTTTTGCATCGCGATACAGCGATGTATCGAGTATTTTAGAAATTCATTTACCTGTAAGGCACAAAAAGTCGGATTTCTAACAAAACTTCATACCCAGATTGATTTAAATCAATTTATGAATTTGAAGATATATGTTTTGTTTAAGAGAGATATTAATGTTATATTTTTTTAAAAATGATCGCGCAAATAAAGATTACTTAGTTTAAAAATAAATAATAAAAAATAAATGAAATTGAAATTTATCAATATATTTACCTAACAATATAGAAAGAACATTTAAAAAATAAGTTCGCTAAAAATTATTTGTATGCTTAAAACAAAGTGTTAAATAAATTTTAAAAAAAACAACACTATTTTTAATCATTATTTTTTCACATGAATAATAAAGTTAAATTGAATAATAACCGAATTATGAACGAAAAAACAAAGTAATGTTTAATTCCTTAAAAGTGAAAACAAAAGAATTGTGATATTCGATAATATATTTAACTGACAATATTGAAAAAAACAAAACAAAACACGATTATACTCAAAGTGCTAAATGATTAAAAAAAAAAAGAAGTCGCAAACTTTACTAATTATTTTGAATAAACAAAGTTGATTGAATGTCCAAATCCAAAAAAGGAAAAATAAGTTTTGTTATAATTTTATTTATAAAAATAAAAGCAACTAAAGATTTATAAATTTGAAATCAGTAATAAAAACCCATTAAATTATTAGAAGTTTTATCCAAAAAGTTTTTAATAAATTAAAATAAAGTAAAAAATAGCCTAACAAATTTAATTACATGTAATTTAATTCTTTATGGGAACCTTAAATTTGATTTCTGATTGTAATAAATTCGATAATGTAAAAAATTACTTAAACATATAATATCAAAACTAATTTTCACATTTAAAAATAAAAATAAAAGTTTTGTTTAAAAAAAAAATAGCCTGATTAATTAAGAAACACTTCTTTATATATTCTCTTCAATAATAGATAACGTTCAGAATAAGGTAACGACGGTGATCACAAAGCCAGTCCCACTGAAAATAATCTACAAGAAACGATATCAAGTCGCGACAAAGAAAGGCTATGAGGGGCGAAAACGAACATGCGAGATCACGATATATATTCTCAAAACTATGGTTCTGATTCTACCACTCATCAATCAAAGCCATTTAAATCAACATAACGAAACGAACATCGTTTTCTACAGCGCGAGTCGGTGTCAGTTGCAAGACGATCCTTGCGCGTCTTATATCGATACATCGTTTTGCGCTCGTCGTCTTTAGTCTACGGCTTAAATCAGATTTCTGATGCATCGGACGAAAGTTGTATATCGGCTTGGTGATATACGCGTTAAATCGATATGTCGCGATACATCGAATTATAGCCCTGTCCTAGTCGCTACTAATCGAAATTAGGAGACATGATTCAGAAGCGACCACACTAACTTCTGCATCATTCTTTGATCGGATCCTGTTATTAAACGTGATTAAGATTTTGAAAAAAGTATATAATTTATTGGAATGACAAGAGTGAATCTTGGAAAAATGTCGTTCTATTGACAATAATTTTATTGTTTTTGATTGTCTGGTGTTTGATTTTTCTTACTTTAGATACAAAAACAATTTTATTTACGATTAAAAAGAAAACCTGTTTAAAAAAAAACCATGATCTGTTTAAAAAAAACCATTCATAAACTTATTGAGGGGGGGGGGGAAACAAACCCTTTTTGACAAATATGAATTTTAATTTAAATTTTGAAAATGTTGTCCTAAGCTACTAGTATTTCGACGAAATAATTTCATAAATGTTAGTTTATTTTTTCTGCCTGAGTATATTAAAGCTTTTTAATAAATTTTACTCACAATTTAGACATTTTACAGCTAATTTTTAAATAAATTACTGAAACTTAAGAATTGACTAAGCACCTTGCGTCTCACAACTGTGAATTATATTAGTTTAAGTTTCAGAATGGTTTTATTTTAATAAAGTCTTACTGAAAAATGCTTACCACACATATTACAGTACTTTTTAGCACTATGCTATATTTCAAGGTAACATGCTTTTTGTCCATAGAAATGGAAGATCTCGAAGTTCTTATCAATGCTCCGGAAAGAGAAACTTTGCTCAAAAATCTCGAGAAGTTTACTAACTACAGCATTAGTGTCTTGGCTTTTACAGCAAGGGGTGACGGTGTAATGAGTGAGCCACTTTATTGCAAAACAATGGAAGATGGTAAGTACATTTCTAATTCCATTTGCATGTATATTTTTACATCTTTAATTAATAAAATTAACAATAATTCATTAATTAAATTAATAATAATTATGTATTAATTAATAAATTGAATTAAAAATTAATATTAATGAGTTAGAAGTAAAATTTTTGAATTAAGGAAATTGATTATAATAATTTAAAAAAATTAGTTTGCTTTTTAATTTAGCATGATTGAATCATTCCAATACTGTATAGAGTTTTCGACCTCAGAATTTTGAAATGAAAAGTTAAAAAATTTCCATATGAAGGATGAGAAAAAAATATTATCAGGGAGATAAAAAATTTTGTCTAGTAAAAGGAAAGTATGAAAGAAAATATACAATGTCGACAACCTTTCTCCATAAATATCAAACTTTTTCAGACGGTTCTTTTGCCCATAAGAAACGAACTATAACAAACAGCAAAAAGACCACTTTTCTTGACATGTTACCATTTCAGTAGCTCGCACAAATCTGTTACACGGAAACATCACTCTGTTCCGTAGAAACATTGTCAAAATTTAAAAACTAACACTTAAATGTTAAAATTGCGGAATTATAATCAAGCAAAATGAAAAAATAATTCATTTAGAAATGTTTCAAATTAAGGTTTAGTTACCGTGATGTTAGTGATGATTTATTGTATTAGTGTGTCATTTACAGTAATAATACTAAAAATTTAAATTTACATTTTTGTTTACTAGTCAATTTAACAATTAAAATTACAATTGTACAATTGTACCTGCTTTTTCATTCGAAACATACGTTGCGAAAAATGTTTTGAACCATTGCATATTTTTATCAGACAAAAAGTCATTAGATACAGTTGCTGAAGAGATTACGAATATTGCGATTGTAATTTATTAGTAAATGTATCCCTGGCAAAGGAAACACTTCAAAGACACGCATTCTTAAAAGTTCCCGGACGTCTTAAGCAGATTTTTATGTATATTATAGTTCCAAGTCCTCCAGCGGATATTAAAGCATTACCAATGTTACCAGATGCAATTCTTCTCAGTTGGCTACCACCTACTCATCCCAGTGGAATATTACAACAGTACACTCTTTATCAAAGGACAACTATAAATGGCAGGCAGGTAATAGATTATTTATTTACCTAGTAAATAATTCTCTAATGTTACAAATATTGATTTATATATGAGGTAAATACTGTATAACGCACAGCATTTTTGAAGTATACTAACTTAAGATAACTAACTTTGGAGAAAGAAATGTTATATACTATATTTTTAATTGATATGATAGTGGGTTATACGTAATATTCAAAAATATCTTCCTTAACGTTGTTCCATTTTCTTCATTTTTTAAATTTAATTTTCATTAAATTTTTGGAACTTTTATAGGTTACAAAGAAACATACATTATCACCCTCTCAGCTTTATTACGAAGCTCTTCGTCTAGAACGTTCTAAAAGATACGAGTTTTGGGTTACGGCTTCTACTTCAGCTGGAGAAAGTGAAGGAACAAGAGTACTTTCTCAAACAACATCAGATACGAGTAAGTCTCGGAATTGTTTCGAACAATATTTATTCACATACACAGTTTAAATTTACTAAAATTGTAATATTTAGAATAAATGAAGGACTGTTGAGTTATGAATATCTCAACTGTTTTGTTTTAGGGATTGCATTATATATCACCATTACAATGAAGTACAAAAATAAATCTAAATTAAGTAAAAGACGTAGATGAGACAGAATTATTTTTCAACTCATTCGATGTGTGATACCGCAATGTATTTAAGTTATTTTAAGTTAATTAACATTCTAACTTATGTAGAGAAACTGAACTCAATGCTGACGTGGGATATCTGAGATTTTCTTCTTGAAGTGCAAGTACCCTATTAAAATAAAAATACAGTTTAATGTGTTTGTTTGCATAAACTGTTCAACTTATTTTTGCTTAACTTATAGATCAGTTTGTTTTTGTTTTCCGTTGCCAATCAGAGAAAGGGGTCAGTGACAATATTTGTAGTATTATTTTACATAATACAGATTCTTTTCTAAATTGCGTGTACATACTATTCCAGTTCCTGCTAGGATAGCTTCCTTTACACTACAAATATTAGCAAAAAGAAAATCAGCAATTCAATTACCCTGCAAAGCTGTTGGAATTCCTGCTGCTGAGAGAATATGGACTTTAAAGTAAGTTATACTTTTAATATAAAATGATATTAATAATATATTAAACAATTGAAATTTCAAAATAGGAGAAAAATGCTCAGTAAGCAGGATATTATCCGTATTTGTATTATAAGCAAACAAAGGAAACTTTAAATCTGCGTAATATCACACGTATTTTTTCGATTGTTTTATTAAGAGCATACCATCGGTGTGGTTTTGATTATGGACACATCTCACAATGCGTGTTCACGAAAATGGACATAACTAAAGATCTCTGTTCACGGAAATGGGCACAACAAAAAATACTAGCCTTCTCAAAATATAGTCTAAATTTAACAACTGAATGAGGAAATCTGTGCTTATTTTTCCTTACTTATTTTAACATCAAGCATAATCATTACGGGACAAAGTCGCAAACTTAGGGATCGGGATGGCTGGGTGATTTAGAGAAGTAAATTTTCAAGCGATGTCTTCCCTTTCATAATCCTGAACAATAAAGTACGTCTAAAAGCTTGAAATTTCAACATCATAAATTTACTTCCACTTCTTCTTCTTAGGCACTACAGCCTGTTACCAGCCAGTCATCTCAGTCAGTTTACCCCATCTAGATCTATTCTATGCTAAATTTCTCCATCTATTAAATCCCGAGTGCTTAAACCTCTTCCAACCCTATAATGACTCAAAATTAAATCATAATACCGTCGCAACATTTCTTCAATCTGAATGTGGAGAGCCGTGGTGGATCAGGGGGCACGTATTTTGAGCTATTCTAGCGTAAATACGCATTTTAAGCTATTCTAGTGCACTAGTTTTGAGCTATTTCTAGAGTTGAAAGCTCATTTGGTATTTATAAAGAAGAAAAATATTATGGAAATCCAAACTTCGCACTTTTGTTATATTTCTAGAGGTCAGACAATAAGGGATCGAAGAAGAACAAAATTTCTAAATAATGGAAGTCTACTGATTGAAGATGTGGATGACGACGATGCTGGCAACTACTCTTGTAGAGTACAAAACGTTTACGGGGCTGATGAAATCGCTTTTCTATTGGTTGTGAGAGGTAATTATGCATTATTAAAAGTGCAAACAGTTTATAACATAAGATTTACTTAATGTATTCAGAATTTAACTTCCCTGGAAACTATTAAAGGTAGAGTAGAAAAGAATTAAGTGTAAAAACAATTTAATATTTGGAGTAAACATGAAATTTACACATTTAAGGAAAGTAACGCCCGTTTTAAAAGTATTCGTTTGGAAAGTCTTTCTATTAAATAAATTTATTTTTTCGTGCAAAAGTTGATCTTATTTCAACAATACTGAACGAAGCACTTTTAAGAACTACTTTTATTTTGACTTTTTCTGGTCTAAAAATGCTTCTGTTCTCAGATTGCCAATTTGTCCTTCAAAACATAGAGAGTTATTAGAAAAAATGTATACAAAGGTCTTAAAATCTCATTGTGACGAAAACCTCTGATTATGTGAAAAATCTTTTAGCTGTTAGCTTGTTTTGATTGAGCGGTTACTATCTTTTTAACCACAGGAAATCGCATACCTTGTTTTATAAATAATTAAGTCTATTATTCCCTAAATTTAATTGCAATAAGTGGGTCCGGGATAGACTGGTTGGCGGGGCGTCAGACTCATGTTCGCGAGAACGGGAGTTCGAATCAAGCTAGACTATCCGTGTAGTAAATGGTGACTGGTGCACGTTAAATCTGTCGGGTTTCGAAGTCTTCCATGTTCCCATACAAAATAATCTCTGCAGTACTGCATCGATCGTTCTCTGGTTCAGGTCAAAATTAAGATCTGCGGATGGATTAATGAGTCATCCCTGTGAAACTGGTTGCGACGTGCTTGTGTTGCAACATCGTATTCTTGACTATACATGGTGTAACGAAAAAAAATAGAAGTTCACCTTCTGCCTTGAAAATCTACTTGCTTTCATGCAGGCTTGCTGATATTAGCAAGTGGCATATGTAACAACATCTTTTTAATATATTTTGATATTACGCTACATTTGAATACATTATCCAGATTTTACAAATTTGTTACTACAAATTACACCACTGGGGGTACTGAAATTGAGATTGATTGTTCTTTGGTTCACTTCAAAATAACGATCTGTGGATGAATAATTGCAGGTATGAATGGGTCCGCCCTATAAACGGGTGCGACGTAAGGGTTTTGTAGATGTTGAATTCTCGGCCATAGATGGCGCCACGGGAAATAAAAACAATCACACACACTTGCCTTAATGGCCAACGGCAACAACAAGTATTACTCAATATGCTTAGACGTAAACATGGACTTCTGTATTCCAATCTTATAAATGCAAGTAGGATTTTTTAAAAAATGACTCTTTGCTCAAAAATCTGCCGTTTAGGAAGCTTTTCGATATTTTCCATTATATTTCTATATTTTCCTATTTTTACTTTATACCATGTTTCTCATAGAAATTTTTCTTACAATAGGTTTAAATATAGAGATGATAGTAAAAAACAGTTTGATTAACAATCAAAAAAGAGTTTCAAATTTAAAAACAATATTATTACATATCTGAGAAAATGGGGAATTTAAGTTAAAATATTGACACTTGAATTTTAGTTTTATTGGTAATACACCAGTGGATTGAATTAAAGAAGGCAAGGTGACAAGGGACTTTCAAAGAAGCAAAAATTTGTCAAAAAATCGATATTTTACATTTTATATTTTTGAAATTTAGGCATTTAACTGAACATTTAAAAAAAAAAATTTCTGGAATAAGAGCAAAATTCATGAAGTTATGGCCATTTCAGTTTTGACCACGCCCCTTTTTTTTACCTTTTTTTGTGTGCAGGTAACTGTTAAAATTAGTTTAGTTTAAAATTAATTTAAAATTAGATGAATATTTTGTTAATTTTTTTTAAAAAATTTAAAGTATATAATTATTAAACTAGTTCATTAGACAATATTTATAGGTATTTATGTTAAAAACAAGAAATATTTGTCCAGATGTAAAATTTGCAATGAAAAAGTACTAAAAGTCATTTTTCTCAAAATGTCTTTTTTGAGAAATTTACAATTTTCAAACTGTTCCAGCGTAATGAATTTTCATTCTATTGACCTGAGAATTTAATGCTATATATTTATGAATATTATTAACATTTTGTTGGAAAAGTTTTTTGAATTAAGTGAATAGTATTTTTTTATACATGATATTTTATAGTGGTATCATGATTTTTTCCTAAAAATATAGAATTTTTACTGTTTTTTTAATGTTATTTGTTTCTATAATAAAAAATAAAAAAAGTACTTCCAACAATTTTTTCAATATTACCTAATATGTAATATTTTAAAAGAATTTTGTCATTTTGACAAAATTTCAGACGCGAGGAGTAATATAAAAAAACATAAAAAATTGAAAAATTTAAATTTTTTTCATTTCTTAAATTTTGAAATATTTTTTTGAAATTTTGTATAAAAGTTGTTTTTAGCAATATAAATGTATCCTGAAAATTTCAAGCAAATCCCTTTATAATTTCAAAAAAAAAATTTGAAAGCCCTTTGTCGCCTTAGTAAATTGTACATATGGCCTTTTTAAACTACATTGACTAATAATTCTAAAATAATACATAAACTTTTTTATTGATAATACATGGAACTCTGCATCGTTGGTTCAAAGTATGCCATCAAAACTACTAATTTAAGTATAAGATTATTTAAGGTTTAAATCTTAATTAATATGGTACATAACATTAACTTCAGTATATTCTGCCTATTGTGACATTAAGTTTTGTTTTATCGTACCTTGAATCAGACACATGTTTATTTTCATAACTCCTTTTAAAATAATTTTTTTAATAATCTTTTTCAGCGAAACATCTAGATGGAAGGGGTAAGTTGACAAAACTTATACAAAACAGTTACTTGTATTTTTTTTAAATAAAATTTTGAAGGTTTTTAGAATTTTGTCTTAATTTTATAGCTTTACCACCGCCATCTACAGTAGCAGTAGTGAGTGAAACTATTTCTAGCATAGAGGTGAAGTGGGCAATGGAACCACGAGGTCGAATGAAAACAAAAGGTAACTTTTCTTTTTCAAAACATTTTTTTCTAATAGGAATGGGACTTAAGAAAAAAAAAGACACTGCCAACTTGAAATATTTCTTGATTTGGAAATTTAAGAAAAATGTCAATAATCCATCAATGACTCAAAATATAAAACTAAAAATACAGTTCAGAGTTGGTTGATAACCATTTATGGCTTCGGTGATCGCCATTATTAGCATATAGTGGTAGTATAAAACTCATGATGGAGTTTTGGCCGTTACCAACACATCTTAGTTATACATGCAAAAAACTTGAATTGTCTTAATGAAATAATAGAAATCGTTCGAACGAAATTATCTTATTAATTGTTGAAAAATGGCCACAATTCAAAAAATATGTAAGCATATTAAAGAAGAGAAATCCTTTAAATGGATCAAATTAAACTCTCTCCCACATCGAGAGTTTTTACAGCATGAATGATATTTTTAACAGTTGAAACTGCCCCAGTCGCCGTAAATTTGAAATTGAAAGTTAATGTATTTGTTTCCAACGTACACAACTATGGATAGGAGATCCAAAATTGGCAATTTATCAAATATAACATAGCCAAAACAAAGCCAACCCCGCATAATCAATATTGGGTTTGAAAATACTTTGGCAATCACGAGTCACCAGCAAAAGTGTGGGAATTATAATAACCCTGTAACTGAAACATATTTGAGGTAAGAAATTATTAATAAAGAGTTATAAATCGACTTTTGTTTTCGATTAGGCGCGGCAGTGAATTAATGAGTCTACTGTAGTATTGAAATAAAAAGTTAGACCTTACATTGATTGATAAGAGAAGAATAAAATATTTTATGCTCGCTTTAATAGATTAACTCATTGATTTAATTTAAATATAATTTGATTAATAAAATAAGTTTATGTAATTAAAGATATTTTAAAAGGTAGGAAATAAATATGTAATACCGATTGTGGCATTACACCAATTATCTCATTTTGTTAAACAGTTGTAATTCATGTTCAAGTGAGTGTTGACCGAGTAAAAACTTTCGAGAAATAAAATTTTTTTTCTACAGAAATTTTAGTTATAAAAAAAGATTCATTGCTAGCTCTATCGTTATCTCATGGGGAAAAAATGTGCTAAAGTCACAGTTTGTTTGTTATTGACATTTTTGTCAAAAAAGAAAACCATCATAATAAAACCAAAATATATATAAAATATATTTAAACCATTATTTTCGTACTTTTTTCGCGCATATAGTAACGACTTACCGGAAATTCTGGTTTTTAAAATTATAGTTCTAATTTTGCAAAAAATACAAAATCGAAAAATAAATTTAGCCGAATAAATGGTTTCCATGCAATGATTTGAGGCATCATGATAAAATAGCCAAATTTCGCCATATTTACCAACTTTTATTGCATTTTATAAACTACTGAGCTTTTCGTTGTTTGCGTAGAGCTAGAAACACTGTATATTTATTTTGAAAGTTTTGACCATATGTTATTTTAGTTCGTGAACTAGATATTACACTCTTAATTATACTAATAACTCATTAGTGAAACATGAAAACAAATTAACAAACGATTTTGAAATTCAAAGTCCAAATAGTAAATATATATTTCTCTATTTATATATCTGTCGTCTTTGTGAATTGCACATTCATAACTAAAACTTGGGCATAGATACAAAAAGATATGTCGAATTTCTTCGGTCGACATTTAAGATCCGAAAGATTCGACTTTTAAAATTCTGAAAGTAATCCAAACGAGAAGATCAAATTTGAAACGCAGTAGAGAGGGCAGAGAAAAGTAACTGCAAGTTCAAATTGAAATGGAAAATGAAACTCAAGATAAAACCAAAACTAAAGTACTGATCAATTGAAATTGATAAAGAGAAATTGTATTTTGAAAAACATCATTGAAACAACCCAGGTTTAAATAGCACTTTATTAGAGATACAAACGTTTCCAGTATGGTTTACGTTTTATTGTAATCGTTTTGAATCGGGATTATATTATATTTCACCATCAAGGTCTGTGTATTGAACATAGTGAGAAGAGTCTTCGGCTACCTCAGTAAAATTAATGGAAAATGATACTTATTTGTTTAAAAGAGCGCAAAAGAACAGCAACCTATTAAAGTCGCCAATGAAGCTTAATTAATTTTGGTAATATTCTAGTTGAAATAAAAAAAATAAACTATGAACTAAAAAGCAAAAATTTATGGAAAAATGTCGCCATACTATTATTCGTTACGGGGAACAGTAAAAAGTTGCCATACTATTATTGACACCAATGATGGTTGATTTTGGTAATAGGCACACTGGCATCATGGTAATTAGGACAGTTTTAATAGGTACCAAATATTCCCTTATATAGATATCGAGTATTTTATGAGTAAATTTGGTGCCGATTACAGCTGAACCAATACTGTGCATTTTTATGATAGCTATTTTGCAGCCCTTACGTACTGGATAAAGTAGCCTAAGTGTTAAATTTTAAATATGAGTTGCCTCGTGCAGCAGAATTCTGCCAGATGATACTGAATACAGTTATCTTTATTCTGATGGGGTGAACAACTTAATACGTGATTTGCTTAATCTAATAACGTAAATCCACCGAGAAGATAAACAAATAATAATAAATAAACAGGAAAACATTGGGATTGTTTTAACTTTAATATTTACGTCGATATTTATCTTAAAAGTTTTGTGCAGAATAATATAGTATTGTTCAGTACTGATTAACTGATACTTTTTTTTACCAAGTACGAAGAACGAGTATTCAGCTAGTTATTAAATTAAATAATAGAAAATAATAAATCTTTAATAAAAGTAATTTTTTTGCATCTTTGGGTCGTTATATTTGAATAAGCGATTTTTAAAAGTACGTTCAAAAATATTTTTGATGCGCATGAAATTCTCGATATGTAGCAGAAGTCATAAAAGGTAAAATTAACTTTAAAGGGTCTAAATTTGGACCGCTCTTCTGACCAATCTATGGGGACCATATTTCCTATATTGTGGCAACCCTCTATATTTTTGGAGTCAAAAATATCAATCCTTTGAAAAAAAAAGTCTTAGTGTATTCAGAGAAAATACAATTTTGCGTCTAATTTTGCAATTCAAAATATCGTTTGCACAAATTAATTAGCAGATTTCAAGATCATTCCTCAAACCAATAAGATTGAGACCCAGAACGTAAAGATCTGATTATTAGATCAAAAGTTATTCAGAGTGGTCCATTTTTTTCTGTTTGCTCACTATGTGATTATTATGTAAGGTTGAGAAATATTGCAAGTTGACGCATAGTTACAAAACTTTTGTGCATTATTGAATTATTCATTTTAGTCAGTTCGTAGTTTGAAGGCTTCACACAACTGTTGATGTAATCATTCCTGCCAGTTATTAAATTATTTTATTTAATATATTTATATAAATAATTGGTGTAATGAAGTATTTTTAATATTCAAGAGAAAGAGAAAAAACTAAAAAAAATAGGGTTTATCGAGTTGAATTGAAATTTTATTCAGATTTTCTAAGAGAAACGAAGAATATCTGAAAGTTATTACTTTGTCGTTAATTATAAAAATGTCTTGCTTAAGGAATCCACATTCATTAAAATTGTACGATTCGTGAGATTTACGTTGAAAAAATGGAGTAATTGCTGATTATCAAAAAGTTATTTTTAAGAAATTTTCATTTAAATTGCTCGGAAAATATCTGAAAGGAATTTTAATGTCATAAAAGGCATATATATTTTTACTCTATTAAGAACAAATGAGAAATTGTTTTCGCATTTATTCATCCTTTATATATTTATGCTTACATTATTTATATATTTATACCTTTATTTATATATTTATATTAGGATAGTTAATTCCTTTCTAATGGAAGAATTTTGCTAAATATAAGAATAGATTTTGAATTAAACGCTATAATTTATAAACAAGTACATTCTGCAATTAGTAATCTTCAAAAAAGAGAAACATTATGTAATAAATGGGGTTATGGAGGTGAATTTAAGTATTAAGCATATTTCTTAAGTTAACCTGAAATTTCTTACTTTGTCGTTAATAATAAAAATTAATTACTAAAAGAAATCTTATTCATTAAAATTTCACCATTTGTGTGGTTTACAACGGAAAAATTCAGTAAAAAAACATTAGTCTGATAACGGAATGGGAATAAATTAAAATGGCACACCAATAAAATACATAATATATATTGTTTTAATTTAATATCCATTAAAAGTACATAGTACATCAGAACTTTCAAACTTCAATAACTACATGTCATATTACAATATTAAAGATTAAATATTAAAAACCTGAACAATGTAAGAAAAGGATACTATTATTGGAACATCCAAGTAAACTTATTATTTGCTGAATACACGCAAATGCAAAAGTTTTTTAATATTTCAGTAACTAATGTTTCTTTGTCCATTCTCTTATTTTTACATAAATCTTGTAATATAACATTATATGAAAGCAAAACTTTTTTCAAAAAATAAAACAGTAAAAAGCAAACTAAAACCTGCAGATAACTTATTTCGTATTTTAAAAGTTTTTTTAATATTTCAGGGAATAATGTTCTCTCACCCATTGTATCTATTTAAGTAAATCCAGTAATATAATTTTAAATAAAAACAAAACTTTCTTCAAAAAAAAAATTAAAAAAAAAAAATAATAACTAAATCATGCAGGTAATTTATTTTGTATTTTTTAAACATCTTTAAATAGAAGCTTAAAAATAACTTGGTGTTTCACATTAAAATGGATTTTAGATTACTGTAGAAAAAAAAAGATCCAACGAATATAAACATTTCTTTTTAAATTCTTTTTACAGATTTAAGAGTAGATTTTCTTTGCTTTAAATTACAATATCTATCATGAAATAGCTTAAAAATAATCTCCTAGACAGAGTAATATGTCCTTCTAATGTAGAAAAGAATTTAAAAGACTTTCTTTTTCATTAAATCTATCTATCCTCCGCAAAATTAAAATAGGGAGAAAAAAGCAAACTTAAACTCACCTTCGATTTTAGAAAGAAAAAAAGATTAAAAAGCATTATTTTTATCTTCCGATTTAAATTTAGTTTAAATATATTGAAAGCACATTCTTTGAGAAGCTTAATATTTACATTTTATTTTCAGTTTGAATTTTATTTTACATCAAAGATTATTTAAATACTTTAATATCTTTTTTTAAAGATATATTACAAAAAAATACTAGTTTGAATAAGAAATTAATACCCGAGGGACTTGTTTTGCTTGCAGATAATTAAATCAATGCTTGAACTTAATGTAAAAAATGATAAGCAAAAATAACATAACAACTCTCAAAGAAATATTCTTATCAATACAGGAAGCTGGATTTATATTTCACTTTTTGCATCTTATTACATACTTATTTTCTAAAGATTTTTTTTCTGGTTTTAATTTTTTCTTTAGAAAACTTACTCAGAATAATAGTGGGTATCTAATATTTCAAAAATCAGTTTTTCTTAATTAAACGGAAGATCATAAGTATATACGGTTTTTTTGCAAGGTACTTCGTAGTATTCCAACTGTATTTTAAAGTTGAGTTACAAAGCTTAGTAACAGGTGACGCTGTACGTGAACGAAAATAAATACACTATGTTTTCAAAGGAACCAACGTTTTCAACAAGTACGTAGTGTTATGTGAGAGCAAAACTAAGAGACTCCCATGCAAACACTTTAATCGAAATTACCCAACGTGTGGCAATAAACATTGTCTTATAGTGACTGTATTCTTTGGCGCCATCTTTTGAAATTTTTTGAAATAATTTTAAATCATGTTAATTTGCTAAGAATAAAAATAAATAAAACACTATTGCCTGAACAGAATTCTTGTACGGATAATTACATCAAATTTTCAAGTTCTAAAAAAAATAAAACATCATTACTTATTGTAAAATGGTAGAAGTCTTCTTATCCATAAAGAAAGCTGAATTTATATTTCAATTTTTGGAAACGGTATTATCAATTTATTTTCTGTAAAATTTTTCTTGGATAAAATTTAATACATTAAAAACTTTAATACTTTTGATGACTTACTTGATTGTATTGATTGTATTGCATAATATTGATCATCCAGAACATGACCGACTACGGCGATTTGATAAATCAATTAAGAAAAAACAACAAAGAGAGGATATAAAGGTACAGTTTGTTGCCTTCTGCTTAGTTAATCCGAACTTATATATAGCTTATCTTTTGTGTAAAAATTAACAACAAAGTTCATCAGCAGATGGCGCTCCGATAGTTAAAAATTAAAAAAAAAATACCTTCAAAATACTCACTTATTTCTACCTTCTTTTATTTCCTTTTAGTGATTTTTTTTCAAATATTGGGTAGTTGGGGACCGACGGAATAAATTTATGTTTCTAAAATTTAAAATATTTAGTAAAATCATTGACGAGTTGCTTACAATTAGAAACATTCATCAGTTCAATACTCTATAAACATTAAGTATCTTGTATTATTCTTAATAATTTTTTCTTAACTACAAGTAATTTTATCATCTTTTTTAGGTTTCATTATCAGGCACAAGCGAGAATATGGTCAATGGGAGGAGACAAAAGTAACATCAAAAGCATTTTCCCATATTTTGCAGAATTTGCAGTGTGGTACAAAGTACTATATATATGTTGCAGCATTAGGAAAAAATGGAGAAGGGGAACCAAGTGAAATGATTGTAGCTAAAACGATCGGAAACGGTAAATAATACGCTCTTATTAATTCATAATTTTAAAAACATTTTGCTTGTATTAATTTATTCGTGAAAACTCATTTCTATAATCTTATTATGCATAAAGATGTTCTTTTTGTGAAAAATTTTTTTTCTATACTTATCGAAGAATTAATTTGTACTTGTAGTTCCTATTGCATGTAGTTCATATTGCATAAATAGTGCATATAGTTCAGTCAACATAAGAAGTTGGCCGATTTACGGCTTTCGACATGTGACATTATTGTAAGAATAGTCACTAATGTCCTATAGTCTTACATATAGTATTAGTCTTTAGAGTCATATAGTCTAATAAATAATATTAGTTATTATAGTTATATTGTCTTTTCCTGTAGCCTTTTGTCATTTTTATGTTAAACGCATTTCCAGATAAACTCAATTTTAGCCCATGATGTCGTACCATGATTCGGACTTCTCTAAGTTTTCTTACTGTACACCGCAAAATATTCCGGATCAAATTATGGTAATAGAACATTTTGAATCGTAATGCATCCCATCAATATTTTACGTGAATGCTCTGCATTCAATTTTGAATTAGCACGTATTTAATTTTGATTCTTGAAAAAATATTGTTTACTGAAACTTTTCTTAAAATCTATTGACACTGGTAAGTTAATACATAGGTTGCGATTTTTCTCATTTTAGCCCCTGTAGCTCCCCACAAAGACTTGTTCGTCGTATCCAATTCCACATCATTAGTGGTGAATTTGAGAGCATGGGAAGATGGTGGATGTGGCATTAAATCCTTTGTGGTCAGGTACAAACGAATGCATACAACAGACTGGAGAATGGCAGCCAGTTCAATCAGTCAACAACAAGACAAGGTAGTCATTCGTGACTTAAGTCCCGGTACATGGTACAGCATTAGAGTGACTGCTCATAATGTTGCCGGATCCACTGTGGCGGAATACGAAATGGCAACTCTTACTTTAGATGGAGGTAATTTAGGTTATGTATTCCTATTTCAGTTTAGTTTTAATATATTTAAAAATAGACTCTAAAATATCTACATGCATATTAGAAATCCTTATCCAAGTTGTGTTAAAAATATCGCATCTTGAAAATGAAAAGTTCTAGCCCTAAACAATATTTTTTTTGAGCAATAAATTAGTTTTCGTTTATAGCTGCAATAAACAAATTAGATTTTTTTGACATCAGGTCTAATCTATGAGAACAAGCTTTTTTTTAAAAAAATTACAAACAATGAATTGGATGTGGTAAAGTAGAGGTGTAACAAATGGATATGATTATTCACGGAGCTGCATTTGAAATCGGATAGAGAGTACCTGGCTTAAAAAAAAACATGTCTTAACATACCAAAATTGCGAATAATGCTTTAGAATAAAATTTTTGATTATATCGATAAATGGAAATCAATAAGATTGTTCTTCGAATTTAAAAAAGCTTCATTAAGACACTTGTAGTAGTGGTACACTTTTTTGTTTTAAAGGAATTGTAGATTGAAAGAAACATAGATGGCCATTTGCTGCAAAAAGAAAAAAAAAACATTGTCCAACTATGATGTGATAAGCCCAAAAACTGAAAAATAATGTTTGCAAAAGAATTATTATTTTTAGCCACAATGTGGCGCAACATTTCAATTGCAAATATCTGTTGCAAATATTGTTGCAAGCATATATTGTTTTCTAGGTTTCCTAGAAGTATCGCTATCGATTAAAAAATTATCAAATTAACTAGAACTATGTAAGAATGAATTTAATAAATATCTTAGTTCTGATGCGCTGCAGAAAAAATTGTTTTCCAGAGTTCCTAGCAATAGCGCTATCGATTAAAGAATTATCTTAATTAACTAGAACTATGTAAGAATGAATTTCTGGCTTTCTAAACAGAGCGACACAAACTATACATTCTATCACCTTTCTCTTCTTAAAATAAGTTTATTTTTAATCGCTGGTCATTCTTGAAACATCAGGTAAGCTTATTATTTAATTAAGTTTATTAGGCAAGTTATTTAATTATTACTAATTTTTTTAAGAATAGTTTAAGAACTCCAAATTGAAACTAATATATGATTTCAACTATAATATGCTAATTAAGGACAATACATCATATTTTAATGCACACTTTCCAATTTTACAAAGGATTTTTTATTTACCTGATTCGTATATTTACTGTCGAATTTTAGGTACAGTAGCTCCTATTTTAGTCCTTGAAAGTAGAGAATCAGTCAATATCTGGGAAGATGTGAATATAATAGTTCCAGTTGTAGCCGCTGTGATAGCATTGACAGTGGTTATTGGAGTCGCTGTTTGCGTATGTGTCAAGAAAAGACAAGGAGCAGGTACTAATTCACACATATTTCTTTGGTTAAAAATCTTTCAAATGTAGCTAAAAAATAAGCAGGATTGTTCTTGAGTAATATTTTGTTGGTTTATATCTGCATTAAATGGATTACTGATACATACAATAGATAGGACTACATTTTTCTAAACGTAAACTGATTTTATCAATAAAATTTATATAATCACATTTTACTTGTTAACTTAGAACGTTATGCAATATTAATCATTTTATGATTTTTTCCCCTTGTATATATGAGATGTGCGCTTCTTCAATAGATGTGCGCTCGTCGCATTACATTAGAATCACTATAACCATTCAGTGATTGCGTTCAATTCTTCCACCCAGAAGACACAAGAAGAATGATTGCGAGGCTGATGGCCTCTCTTTTTATATAGTTTAATGTAACCGTGATCTGTTTGCTTTAATAGATGCGATATATTTAAATTTCCCTTGTAGTTTTTCATATTCCTATATATAATGTTGTTTTTAATAAGGGATGTCAGTTAAATAGCAAATTATATTGATCTAATTATATTAATGAAGCTAAACATTGTGAATTGAACATACATGATGTCCCGTAAACAGGCAAACTATAACTTCAGTTCCATGATAAAGAATATCTTTTAATGTAGAAACACATATTGACTCTACAGCATGTTTGTTGTTTAGATTTATACATATAAAGCGCAGAGTTAACTAATTATTTAATTGATTCATTATTTTAATTTGAAAAAGAATTATCCGTCATCCTTTCAGATTCATTTTAATTCTATAAGGTTTGTAAACTCATAGATTTCGATCATGCTACAAGAATTGTGGCCGGCCAAATTTTAAATTAAATTTATTTAATTCCCTTTAATTGTAACTAACATTAGTAAGATATTCCACACTATAATTTTTATTACTTAATGCAGATGACTACTACGAACGTCGAGTTGGAAATTCAAACACGACTCCTCTAATGCCAAATCAACCTGTAAAGAAGACATCAGACTGTGGTAACACTCCCATTAGAGAGACATCCATGTATCAAACATGCGGTCCTAAGGCAACTATACAGGCGAACCAAGATCCAAATACCGCAGGAGAACAAGGACATTGTGAGGCATAGTAACATTTTTTTTCTTATATTTGTTTGCTTCGATTTGGTAAAAGTTATTCTTTTTTTTATCATTAATAATTACATAATCGCTAGTATTTTAACTGATTTTCAAATAAATTTATGCACAACCTTTCATTAAACATTTTGGGAATAAATATGAGTTCTGAAAAAAAACTTCATTGTATGATACTTATTCTAGTTAAATTTATATTGATTCCACTGATGTAAGCTTTACAAAATATATGCATTACAAACATATACATCGCAAAAATATATGCAATGTAGCTCACAATTTCTCAAAGCTTGCAGTTCACAATTCTTAAGACACATTCTTACATATCATTACGTATCATATGCCTCTACAGATGAACCATTCTAGAACGAGATATGCGAATTTTTAAATATTCATTGTAAGAAATTATAAAAAAATACTCTACATAACGATGACATTTCCCTAAAAAGTATTTAGTTAGAAAAATAAAGTATACTTTATCTAGTAAATAATGAAGTCGTATTTATAAAAAAAATCACATGTTTTCGGCGGTGCAGTAACTTAAAGTACTAAACTCAAAGTCAATACACTGTGAAAAATTCCAGATCAAATTCCGCCAAAAAGTAGCAACACTTGGGGTGCTGGTACTTTTCACCATAAAATCAATTTTTGTTATGGAACAAGAAATTCATTGGAGCATGTTATGGAACAAAAAGTCTGATATACCGCAATTCATGGAGTAATAATTACAGTAAAACTACCGAATTACTCAAATGAAACAATTATTACTGTAAAAGCTACGGTAAAAGGAATTTTACTGATGATATACCCAAAGGGCAGGTGCTTTATGACGTTATTTGATCTGGAATTTTTTACCGTGTACTTTATGAATTATATTATTCTTTTTTAAAAGAACATTTGCAATAACTCTGAAAGCTCAATGTAATGTAGGTTTTACCCCTTACATTTATTATTCATCTATTAACATACAACCGTGATTTATCTTCCTTCTTTGAAAAATAATTATAATAATACTGAGCCTTTATTATTAGCCTAATTTTAATTCGATTCTGATAGCCTCGTCGACCGTTGATCTGACACGCAATATTCTAATTTCCCATCTGTGCAAACGACAAAGCTTCCAGCTCTATGGCACACGTGCCATACATTTTCTATTTACTCAATTCAATTATTTAGTAAATCTGAGAACACAAGTTCTTCGATCAGTATAAGAAAGCTTACCCTTCTTCAAAACAAAAAGCTGATTTTGCTTAATTGGTTGAGACACCGAAGCTTTCTGTCATTCATAATGATGTAACACATGGAACATAAAAATCAAACTTAGTAATCTAACATTTAGACCAGGGGTGGCTCAGGAATAAAGCGTTCGCCTTCCAATGAGGTGCACGAGTTCCAATCCCAGCGATGGCTGACTGATACGAATCCCGCACCCGGTTTTAAATTACAAGGCAATGGAGATGAACACTGATAGTCGTAAACTCAGAACTTTGTATGCTGTTTAAACACCGAATATAAAATAAAATAAAATTTTTACAATTAGAGATAAATATTTCTCTTTACATAAAAATGACTGAAACATAAGGAGAGAAAAAATCACAAAAGGAAAAAGATTTACTGAAATTGCCACACAATAAAATAAATAAAATCACCAAGAGTTTGACTAAACTGATGATATTTGCATCAAAGTCAAGGTTAAAATGATATGAAAATAATGTTTTTTTTAGAAAATTCGATATAAATACGAAGAAATTAGTTCCAGAATCATTTTATTGCAATATGTGACAAAAATGTTTTAAAAATATTTATCAATTTTGAGAAAACGATGCTGATCAGACGATGTTGTTCGAAACAGGTACCGAACTGCGACAGAACCTGTATCAAAGGGAGACGAAGAAATAAACAAAATATATCTTTGCAACGCTATCGTGATTAATATTACAAAACGAATTTTACTTCCTTTTCTTATTCTACATATGCGCTTTTGCTTGAAAGTTAAAAATGAATTTATTTATCATATTTTTTATTGTGGGGAAATTGTAGTAACAATTGGCGTTGTTCTTTGCAGACTATGAGGACGATATCACCCCGTACGCGACATTTCGGCTACCAGGATGTGAATCGGACACCGAAAGTTCGCACGAGACCATTAGAGAGATGCACACATTTGGACAATATGGAAGAAGATCCTATCATGACCACTCAGCGGCTCAGTACGAGGTTCTTTTCACCACACTTATACCCTCCTTTACCATCAAATCCTTTTTTTAATTTTACTTAGCACTTATCCTAATAAATACCTTTTTCAAATTATTTAATTCAATAATTAAATACTTATCATGATACTTAAATACTTTAGTGTACACTGTAAGACTTTTTCTGACCCATTTAAGGTAAAAAAGCACTGGCACCCTCAGCATCGATACTTTCACCGTGAAATTCATTTTTACTGTTAAAAGTTACTGAATAAAAATCTGACATACCGTAATTTTTACAGTTAATGCAAAATCACTGATTTACTGTAATTAAATAATTATTACTGTAACAATTACCATATAAAATTTAACAGCAAAGATGGATTTTACGGTAAAATGGACTTTACGGATGCTGCAGCACTAAAATGCCAGTACTTTTTACAGTGATATTATCCGGATTTTTCTTAAATTGCACGAAAAATTATAGAATTGATGAAACTATTAATCGGTTTTAGATCCCAATTAATCATCTTTGTTATTCCATTTTTTGACAATTTTATAAGTAATCGTGAACCGTTTATTACAGAAACTAATATTTAATTATTGTAATCACATAGATAATCTCATCTTGGCAGAAGAAAAGGAAAACTCTTGGTTCCTTAGTGTTGCTCAGAAACTATCATGATCATATCATATGATAAATGATACAATATTTATGTTTTGTAAAGAACAGGAGGCACTCTAATTTTTTATGTTAAACCATGTTTGAAATATAAAACTTGTTTTTGGCGCATACTTCCATCAGCGCATGCCTTATAAGTATTTTAATAAGCCTAATAACAAGATACCTCTATGAGACAAACAAAAAAAAAATTTGTAGCGACTAGCAAAGACCATTCAAATAAAAATAAACAGAAAAAATTTTATTTAAAAAAATTTCTTTATTATAATTATGCAGTGGTGATGATAATTTTATACCTTCAGAGAAATTTTAAGAAGCAAAGTTCACTGTAACCATTTTTATGTTTTTAAAAACTGCGCATATCATGATTTTAAATGCATTTATTTTCAACAAATTAGTTTCCGAAAACATTGTTTTTTTTTTTTTTTTTTTTTTTTTTTTTTTTTTTTTTTATTGCATTAAAAATGACCTTTCTAATATCCAAATAAATATTCACATTTATAGTCGTTGGTAGCTGTAATTGCTTCGAATATGACTGCAAAGTTAAAACACATAATATGAACAACATAACAGATTAATAGATGATATTGTAGTATTTCACTTTAATATTGTATTAATATAACTATTAATTAAAATACTTCAATATGAGTTTGCAGGTTAGGGTGCACTTAAAATAACATTTAAATAACAATCGACAGTTTAGTCAGATATCATTATATTTCAATAAGATTTATTCCTTTTATTTTATTCGTTTTCATTTTAGGCTTCAAGAGCAACTTATTCTAAACCAGGGCATCGATCAATATCAAAAAATAGGTAAGAAGGACAAATAAATATTTTTTTTTCTGTATTATTGCATGAAAATTTAATATATATTAGAAAAATATAGTCTAAAACTTCAAAAGCTCAAAGATTTTAAGTATGCAGAGTGCTCTTTATTATTCACTCTTTACCTGTATATTAAAATACTGTAAATATGTATATATATATACAGGGTGATTCTAAAAAGATGGGCAAAATTTTAGGAAGTGATAGTACACACCCAAGCAAAAAATTTTTGTCAAAGAATGCATGGTCGAAAACAAAACGCAAAGGTGCTGGTGCATTTGGAAAGTTGTTTGATGCAAACGTGAAAGCTCCATTCCTGTTGCGAGTTACTGCTCTGCGTTACTTGTCGCCAAGCTTTCGGCCGCTGCAGGGAAAGTTGGTGATATGCCTGGTGTGTTTCAGAATATTCGCCTATCTTTTCTTCGCCATTTTACTGCGTGCATGGCCGCTGCCGGTCACTGTTTTGAACGCTTATTGTAATCACATGCCATTAAATTTGCTTTTATAACTTAACTTCATCGTTCTTTGTGTGTTTTTGCCTCATATAAGAACAGAAACTTTGACGCCTTCTAGCGGTTTTGCGTTTTGTTTCCGACCATGCATTCTTTGATAACAGTTGTTTGCTTGGGTGTATACTATCACTTCCTAAAATTTTGCCCATCTTTTTAGAATCACCCAGTATATATATGCGATCAAAATCAATTCTTTTAATTCCTTACGCTCTAAGCATAGTTTAATTAAGCTCAACAAAACACTATTACAAAACAAATCAAAAATAGTTTTGGTTCGAGATTTTCAAATTAGTGTTCCATATGGTTTTATTTTAAAATATCTATCAATACAGACCAAGCAGCCCATTACATCACAAAATAAACGAAGAAAAAAAAATCAAGAACAAGCAAATTAAAAAAGGAAAAAACATGGTAGAGTTTTATCTTACAGGATTCATGTAAGTTATGTCCTTCCTTAATAGTTACCCAATTTCAACAAGTTTCTAAGACTTTCGATCTAGAACTTGGCACGTAAAAAGATTTTGGTACCTACTTTATAGATCTAGCATATATTCAACTAGAGGATACTTATACATTCCGATGTTCAGCCATGGGCTTACCTCAAAGGGTCCCCACAGCTTTCTTAGTAAAAAAATATAAAATATTAGACAGAAACCACATTGAAAAATGTGTTTAATAAGAATATTTTTTAGTTGCTTTAAAATGTGCTTATTTAATGTGATATGAAATACTTTTTTTTTATAAAAAAGAGTCCTTTATTCGTGAAACATAGTATTTTAAATCTTAATTTGTAATTTTTTTACGTTTTAAGACTTAATAGTAGACTTAGTAATTGCTCAAACATCGTGGGATTTTAAGTAAAATAACACCTATATTTTTTTAATAATATCTTAGTTTGAGCAATTTGAATTTTCGTTTGAGACAATTTTTCTGAACAATAAATTATAAGTAAGTTTTTTGTGTATTTTTAATTAAATATTACACTATTTTTTAATTAATTTATCGATCACCAATCTAATGGTTCAAAATATTTACGCAAATTTCAGACTGGAGACTAATAATATATTCATCAGTCAGCATCATCAAATAACCGTGATCAATAATTAATTTTAATCACATTAACATTGCTAATTATTAAATATATTCCATGACTTAATAATGTTTTTTTAAAATCTGAAATGTTTTCATTCAGCCGAGTGTCCGACCTATGACGTGAAATTTCCGTCCTCACATCCGTCCATTGGTGTATATAGTGAGTCGAAGTTTCGAACCTTGCCCGCAGAGGGACAGAGAGGCGACGATGCTGATAGCGACGCCACTAGAGAAAAAAGACGGTTAGACAAAGAGATTTATAGAAGATGGGTTTGTCTTATAGAGCCATATTGGACACGGTAAGACATGAAACAGGCAAAAAATACTTTTAAATTAAGTGAACACTTTCTTAATGATTCGCTTGCTTTGTTACTGAGTGGATTCTTATGAATGACTCATAATTATGCGGAAGAATACTAGAATTTGATAAAAGTAAAAAATAAATGAAAATGCGATATTTTTGCTGAAAATAATATTCAGTCAAGAATATTCATAAAATAAAATAAAATAATTTTCTATTATAGAAAAATGCTAAAGTGTATACCTTTTTTGTTGTTGTTTTTTCTTGTAAATTACTAAGTTGAGAAGTAGATCTCTATCGGAATTGCCTCTACACCAATGTTAGGTATAGAATGTGGGTTTGTCTTATAGAGCTACAATGGACACGGTAAGAAAGAAAAACTTAGATACTTTATATACTTCATAAGTATTAATATACTTCTAAGTTAAATTCATGAGTGGTGGCAACAGTATTTGAATTGATTTGAACCTTGGTGGCGTTTTGTAAAACGGATTTATTTCTATTAAACGACTTTATTCTTATTAAACGTCTATAAATTTTATTACATCTCAAATAATTTAAATGCTCTATATACTTCTAAATTAAATTCATAATAAATAGTTAAATTCAAAATTTAGTTAAAATCGGTTAATTTCTAAATATAATTTATACTAATTCAATTACTTACTTAATACCATGATTATTAATTTCAATTCAATTCTGTTGATAATTTTACATTGTTATTTTATAACAAAAAAAATATTTTTTTATCTAGAGAAACCACGGCTGAAAGTGATGTTGACATTGAATTAGAAAGATCTGACCTTGTGGATGACCTTTTACTGAAACAAGAAATGTCAGAAGCCGAGTGTGACTGGGACAGAAACGAATGTTACTGACAGTGATGAATAAATTGTAGCGTTAAATCATGCATATTTATCACTGCTGTTGGTGCTCTTGCTTCCAGACAAACAGCACTGAACAATACACTACGCAGTGAGATCCTTGCCAAATGCTCATCGCTCATTGTCGAAAACATTTACAAGATTCAATATGCAGTTGAAGAGACAAGATCAAATCCTAGCCATGGTTCACAAATGCGATTTTCTTTTTTTCAAAATAAAGTTCGATGTTAATGTTTTTGTATTTGTTCAATGATACGCATTCGATATTTAAGACAGGTGTTCCGAGTTCTCCTTTTTAAATGTGTAAATAGTTGAAGTCTTCCATAATTCTACTTCAAAGGAATAAGAAATATATCTTCAATTATATTTATTACATCTAAATATTATTAACTTTTACCATTTAATTTGCACTTAAATCATTCAGAAAATACTTTGAAGTGAAAACTGGAGAAATGTTTCGATACTTTTAAATTTATAAAGATCTTTTTTGGTCACTTATTAAAAAAATTTAAGCACTCAAATTGTTTTTGAATTAATCAAGTTAGAAAGAATATGTATTTTAAATGCCATTAACCTAATAATGTATACTACGAATTTGTTTCAATATTTATGTCATATTTGATAGACATTCGTGCCATTTCTTTTTAGGAAAATCAGAAGTGTTTAAGTGTAAACATTTTAATTCTTCTAAAAAGCACTAACATTACAAAATGTTGTATGATATTTATTATAAATTTTGAAGAATTGTTTTCATCTGATAGTTTAAAATTTACTAAGATAGCTACTTTCTTTTAATACTGATAAACATTTCTCTGCTAAGCCTCAAAAGTTATATGATGTTCAGTTGTTCAAATCAAGACTTAATAAAAAGTGCTTGCCATAAGAGCATGAAAAAAAACTTTAACTTTTTTTTAGTATTTTAATTTATGCAAGCATGAAATATCATTGAATGTTTTTATTTATAAAACAATACCTCACGAGAGTTTTAAGAATGATTAAAAAATGTATTGTAAATAAATTATATATTTTGTCTCATTTGGCATTTGTGACATTTGGCTGAGATTAAAGATATTTTGAATTCAAAAAATCTCTTGTTGATGAGAAAATCTAGTAAATATGAAACTCATTCAATTAACTTACCTGAATAGAGCATTACTTTAAATTGACATTAATAATTTTATTTTTATGGTTTTCCATTTTAAACTTTACATAATTTCGCTTCAAAAATATATTTTTAAAAATATGAAGAATGGTTCTTTTCAGTTTTTAGACGTTTTGTTATGGAGTTAAGTTTAATTTTGTTTTAAATTTTGAAAGAAACTATTCCTAATTCCTCCAGAGAATTATCTGTCATACAGCAAGCAAAATTTTTAATTAGTTTATTTTTCTATTAGTTTCTGTCTGTTCTGTTAGTTTTAGCTTTTTTATTTAGTTTTGTTGTTTTAAAATTTAAAAAGAAAACATTCTTAATTTCGAAATTTTGTCAGCTATTTAAGTCAATTTATTACAATAAAAAGAGAAATGACCTCCATTGTAGACAACAGTTGTCTACTGTTTAGTTTAGCAGCATGTTTAAACTGGTTTGCCCCGGTTTCTTAGTATGTAAGATCGTACACTTCCTTCTAAGAAATAACTAACCCCCTGATACCACGTGTTCAATTTGAGATTTGATTATATCAAAATTCTGAAATAAATGTAATAATTTTAATGTATACTTCATAGTAACTATAATAAAAAATATGCATTTATCATGAATTCTGCAAACTGCCAAACATCATCTATCAATATAAAATCTATCAGGTACGAGGTTGTAGTTTATATTTTTTTTATTCTAATTTTTATTATTCAATAATAAAATTGTTTACTGAATACTCCATCTGGCTAAATATATCCAAACACCAACATAAAGTATCTTAGAGTGGGAGTATTCTTCATGGCCTGCCCTGGTTTTCTTAGTTTCTGTCAATGGAAATATTAACTCTGTGGTGTATGTGGATGTTCTGGAGTAAACTGCACATTCAACTGCATGACAAAGGTTCGAGGAAGGCCCATTCCTCTTTCAGCAGGTTTACCACGTCATTCACACATCCAAACTTGCGCAGACACGGTTTGACAAAGTGGTTGTTCTAAAGTTGGATTGGCCTTTTCAGATTCCTGATCCTGAACAGCTAAAAGATCTTTAAGACAAATTAGAAAACAACAGAATTTGTCACTAGTTAAATGAATGACCTTTACTGCCATTGCTCATTTCAGCTAAAGTCAAATCATATGGTCACCTATCAAAGCTGGTGCACTCTCTGGTAAAAACAGCTCTCTCCAGACGTGTGTATTGGTTTTCATTGATGCAAAAAAATAGAAAAAGGTTTTTATACCACTGGGTGTTCGGACACTTTTAGCCAGATAGTGTATCTCATTGGAAAAAAAATGCTTCTGTAGAAAATCACCCAAACAAGGAGATCGTTTTGAATTCATTATATCTATAAATGTAGTAATTACTCTGAAATTTTGGTGCAGTTCCATCTCGACTGTGATGATTTACTGTGATGTCAAGACTTGATTCAAATTAACTGTGATGTTATAATTGCTATCAGATAAGCATTCGTGTATATCAAACAGCTGAGTTTATGTATATATTTCAAATATGTATGTTTTGTTTACTCCAGTTTATTAATTACGAATTAAATGAATGTTAATCATGCGTTTTAAATTGCCAATAAAGAATATACCCTAAAATGTGTTTTGAACATGTTTCAATGTGTTTTTTATTAAGCAAATGAACATTTTTCAGATATCAAACAGGGTCTATTATGAGAAATCAGCAACGTATTTTTGTCCATTTGTCGTAATAAAGAAAAGTCACGCTTTTTCACGCAAAATAATGTTTAATCCATAACATAACCATTTTTAGATTTTAAATCAAGCCCTGATGGCCTTGTGGGCATTAAATGGCTTCACTCAACCGCATAACGATCGGTTAATTTTCAAGAAAGCGGTCATAAAAGTGCCTATTTTTTGGCTTTTGTATTTGTATTACGTATCTTATTAGTGCTGACATCTAGTTTAAAATAAGCTAACTATGTACAATTACCGTAAAGATATCCTGGTACTGCCACCTGGTGTGCAAAATGAGAAATAAAATGCTTTCTGGGCAAAAGAAATGAATTAGTTTTATTGTTATTCGCACATTACTACTGTCAATATCACGAGAGCGAGAAATAGAGGGCGAAACCTCACCGCGTCATTTTCACGGGAGCGAAAAGGAAGGGGTTAAAGCAGTGAACTCTCATTGTTCGATTTTGAAAACTCCATGTATTCAAAACTGAAACAGCATATATGTCTTTTTGAGTAAAATGTACAGTCTCTAATGCGATGAAGTGAGAGATTATGGTTGGCTACTGACAGTATTCGAACCAAGGACCTCTGGGTTCGTAGTAGGATGCTTTAACCACCACATCTGTACACCCCGGTCGGGGTGAATTCGAAAGCTTTATGAAGAGGCTGCCGCAATTACACATCATGACACACTAAATTCCAGTTTCTATGGTACAAAGGGCAGAAATTTGGAAAATATGGCCCCTCAGATTAAGTAACGTATTGGTAATTTTAATTTCACCTTTCCTTATTTCGTTTTATCTTAAAAGTATTTAAGTGAATAGTACCTGTGAAGTCTGTAGTTTCTTTATTATTTTTTCTAAATAAAGAAAGTCAATGTTGGATCAGCAGGAGACAATTTTACCGATTGCTTACCAATTGCAACTGCTTAAGAGGCCTGATTATCTTCAATATAAAGAAGCAAGTTACTATAGATAATAGCGAATAATACAATATTTGAAACAAAAATCGAAATTAAGAAAAGAATCGAAGGGAATTGAAATTAATTTCAATTACAATTGTGTGTCACAATGTCTTTTACAAAAATGTATTGCTTTCGAAAAGCAGAACTTTTGTTCATTGCCATTATTTTAGAACAATTGCTTTTCGTGTATATTGATATATCGTAAATGGAAAATATAATGCAATGCTGATAATAGAATTAAATATTTCAAGTTTTTCAATAAAATTTCTTTCTTTCTTATAAAC